TGATGAGGGGGACAAATAAAAGCCAGGTTAAGGGTGAAAGTGGTTTACTAATGGAGCCAAATGGAATCATTTGTTCACCCTCTACAGCCCACTCTCTCCTCTTACTGTAATTGGCTCTGCTGAAGCTTTTCCATCCCTACTAGTTGAAGATGGCAGCTATTGAAAACACTTCATATTCAGATGGGGATTTAAAGATTTTCTTTGTTTAATCAGTCCATTTTCCATTCCCCCAGTTTGTTTACCTAATTAAAGAAAGATGTCGCACAATTGCAAGCTTGAAATATTGATATGTGTTGCTGCGGCACCATATTTTGTTGAGAGAAAGCGTCAATCTTCTTAATTAATTTTCCATTAAGGGCACAATAATGAGAAGTTCAATATAAGCTTGGAGCAACGTTCATGGACCCCTCCCTGGCCTTCCTTGGTAAAACAATCCTGTTCAGTGAATTAAGCTTCAGCAACACACAATATCATTTCTACAGCTCCGCATTTCACCTGTACAATACATATACAGAGTGGAATTTTAACACAAATGTATAGTAAAGAAGACACACATTAATTGCTTTAAAATGTCCCACAAAAATACAATTAAATGTCAAACATTTAAAGGTGGGGTAGGTAAGTTTGAGAAACCGGCTCGAGATACACTTTTTGTTATATTCCATGGAATGCTCTTAACATCCCGATAGCAATGAATAGCTTAAGTGCTTTGACAAAAAATCCATAAAAAAATGTCATCTGTGGAAGCCGTAGGACTGTAAAAAGCACAACCAATCATTTTAGCCGGCCCGGCTAAAATAACTGGATGGCCTACCTGCCTGTCAGCCTTCCATCTTGTGCACAAACTTATCTCGTGCCCTCATTGGTCATGTGCGCGTTCGTGTGTGTTGGAGGAGGGGCTCTATAAGGAAGTGGCAGATTTTCTCCGGTTGTGTATTTTCAAATTCTAGCACACTCGAGCTGGTTTCTCCAAAATTACCTACCCCACCTTTAATACCAGTTAATAATAATAATAATAATAATAATATATAAATGCCCAAAAAATGCAATAGAAAATACAAAAAGTTGAGAGAACCATAATTAATTTAAAAAAAAACAATAAAATACAATTCTTCTCTTTGTGCATCTTACATAAATTGCCCACATTACGCATATACATGATTGTAGTAAAAAAGTTAGGAAGTTGCTTAATGGTGTAAATGTTGTCTAAAGAATATCTAAAATTATCTTGCTGTGTTATTGTTAGATTTGATCACATAAGACATTTGACATAAGCAATTTTTTATTATTTCACCAATTAAAACTAATTTAGATGAACAGTTGGTATGGTGGCAAAACTGAATATGTCATAAAAATAAATTACGATAACTCCTCATCCTCCGTTCCCAAAATATATAATGTATAATAAAACAAGAGTGGATCATAGGCTTTTTAAGGAAAATGTACAACAACCTCAAATAATGTTTTTGAAGCTTTTTTTTAAAGGAGGTTTATTTCAATGTTATGCAGGAAAAAATATTGAAAAAGATGCACATGTTATAAAAGATTGTCCTTCGTAATGAAAATGTTTGGTTACCTGCTTCAGTAAACAAATAAAGGTCTGAATTTAATAACCAGACCACTGCTGCTCCTCCGCCTCCCATCCCACCAGGATATTGCTCACACATGCAGCAGGCTGAGAGCCACCGGTTTCAAGAGACTGATAATAGCTAGTTTGGCAAAGAATTGGCAAAATGTGACAGTTCCCTTTTAGTTTTTGCTCAAATGAGTCAGGAGTCAAACAAAGCATTCATCGCTGCTGCTCTCCCACTTTAAATAGATTAAATAACCATGTGGAATGTAAATGTGGAAATTAGAATTGTGTGTGTGAGTCATGGACAACCAGTGGGCCTCTACCTGACACACGAGTTTCATTGTATGACACACAAGCCTTTATATTTATGAATACGGAATTCAAGGATATTTGTGGAAAATAATAGATGAAACCTGCTATTTCATTATAATAGTATAATGTTCTCCATGTTCACCAGTGCAAGAATGCAGACTTTTGCTAATTAGCACAAAACTCAGCCCAGCTAGATTGGCAGGTACTTTAGCAGGTACGTTTTGACCTGATAGATGACGGGACAAAACGTTAGCCAAGGGATCCCGTACCTGAGGGGACCATAAATGTCTCATATAAAATGTTCTGACAATCCATCCAATCATTGTTGCAACTTAAGTGGTTGGTCCATGATATGGTAGGTGGAGCTAACCCAACAGACTATGTTATTCACTTGTGTAAGAGGTGGCGTACTGTTTTTTAGTCTCTGTAGGTTTTGCAAGTATACGATTACCGTCGCCAAAATTGAAACTAAAGAGTTATGAGTGAATATGTTTTCCAAAAAACAAACCTATCACAGTGTGTCAACACAGGTGCCATCAAAAAGCCAAAAATTAAGATTTTTACTTTAATATCTTTAAAAAGTTTGATTTCAATCCATCCCATCGTTTTTAAGTAATCTTAAAGTAATCTGCGGCCGCGAGCTGTTATGTGCCATCATGACACGCATGGTGTTCTTTTTTTATATATTATAATGAAGCGCGAGCACACGTCTTCCTGCCTGTCGTCTCTGCTCATGGATGTATAATAAGGCTCTGCTGCTCCGGGAGGAGGGTCTAGCTTCAGCAGCTACATTACCTACGGTGCGTTCGTTAATATTAACTGTGCGGTCCGGAGTCACTGTGGCACAGACTGGACCGCTGGTGAACAGCTGTTAGAACGGGCCGTTCAGGTGTTCAGAGCAGAACTCCCTGTCGGAGCGGCAGAGCGTGATGTGCACTGAAAAGTTTTTCTGTCGCAATATTATTTAATGAATCGTTGAGCTAGCTAACTAGCATACATTGTCACTATCTGCTAACGTTAGCTTTAGCCTTCGTTTTCAAATAGTTTTTTTCATAGGCTATAAACGGAGGTGGTATAAGTATCTTGTACTTGAGTAAAAGTAGAAGTACTCGGATCTTGTACTTGAGTAAAAGTAGAAGCACTCAGATCTGGTACTAGAGTAAAAGTAGAAGTACTCAGATCTTGTACTTGAGTAAAAGTAGAAGTAGGCCTACTCAGGTCTTGTACTTGAGTAAAAGTAGAAGTACTCAGGTCTTGTACTTGAGTAAAAGTAGAAGTACCAGAGTGTAGGAATACTCTGTTACAGTAAAAGTCCTGCATTCAAAATGTTCCTCAAGTAAAAGTAGAAAAGTTGATTTCTCATCAAAATATAGTTAAAGTAGCGACAGTAAAAGTAGTCATTGTGCAGATTGGTCCATTTCAGAATAATATATATGATATGTTTTATAATGATTGATCATTAAAGTGTTCTCAAAGCTGATAAAGGTGCAGCTAGTTTGAATGACTTTGTATACTGCAGGGTAGCTTGTGAATTTACTCCAGGTGGAATTAAAGTCTGATTTAACACTTGATTATATTTCACATCATTAATCCAGATCTGTAAAGTAACTAAAGGTATTAAATACTTGTAGTGGAGTAAAAGTACACCATTTACCTCTGAACTGTAGTGGAGTAGAGGAACAAAGTAGCAAAACATTGAAATACTTAATACATTTTCAAAATGCTCAACAGTGCTGCCAAAATTATAAACTGACTGCGACACTTAAAATAAATGCTTTTATAAATGTCTATTAGATGTGACTCTTTGGCGTTTCTGTTATTAACTGCTTTAGTTGTTCTGACTGCTAAAATCCTCTGTTATTCCGTGGGGTCGGGGGGCTCGGATCCTTGTCACCTTTTTCATACCTGATGAGTTTGCATCCCTGATAACTTGTTTTTGATATATGCCCAGCCCTACCTTAAGCCAAGTTACAAACGTTGTGGTTGGTATTAAGCCATGGCTATGCAAATGGCTGAATGAGTGTGACCCACCTGGACAATGTAGAGCACAGGCATATTTTTAAATACCCTGACACACTTCAGGAGTAGCATAACATGGCCCATTTACTGACCACCTCTTGTCTAATAACATCAGAACTGTCTCAAAACAGCCACTTCACTGCATTCCAAATGCTACATAGACTGATACTATTTGAGTGGCTGTCATTAGTATTGAATGACTGGGGCTCACTTTGCATATCTGTGTTCTCCCATCTGCAGAACAAAACCTGGACCAGATGTACGACAGAGCTTTGATATTCCCTTTATGTGGCAATCTGCCTCTGACTAGATTTTCATTACAGATGAAAGAGAAAAAGCACATTAAACAAATCCTGCTTAAAAGTCTGGTTACATACACACAATGCTTTTTTGTGTGTGCATTTCTTTGTGTGTCAGTCCACCCACAAGCATTTCATAAGCAAGCAGAGGGAGCCATGCGCAAAGGCATAAAGCATACTAAGCCTTGCAGCATTTGGGTTGGGTTTTATCAGCGGGGACATTAATTTCAATTTATGAGTGCATGTCCAAGTAACTTGACCCACAAGACCACCCACACAGAGGCGGAAGGACTTTTGGTTGATTAAACTTCAGTCTCACAGGTTTTTTCTCCGCAAAATGTAGCCAGCAAAACATCTGGTATTGAAATGAAAGGTTTACCACATATTTTGTGGGTGACGAGCAGAAAATAGATGCGAGACAATTCTGGAAAAGAAACATGCTTATAATGTGGAAATACGAGTCAGTTAAGGCAAAAGTTATTGGGCTTGAACAGTTAAATTATACTGCTTCAATTCAATGAAATGACCCCTCGCCCTCTTGCTTGAACCACAGGAATTAAATGTAATACCTGCTGGATATCCGCATGTTAGCATATAGACATTAGCATTTAGCTCAAAGCAAGTATGTTCTTACAGAGCATGGCTGTATTGTTGTAATTTTAGGCACAAAAAACAATATTAGATCTGTCCATTTTTTTTAACAATAATTTAAAATGAGGATGACTCAAGTTATTTTTCTTGATTCAAATGTGGAAATATTCTTTATCAACTCACAGCCTCTCCTTCTGTGTCCCCAGCTCCGGTGGGAGGGTGAGCATTGCTACCGGAGGCCGGCCCAGGTCACGTTGATGCTGGCGGGCGCTCCACGGTACTGTCCCCGCCACCTGCTCCAGCGCTGCCCCCACCTCCCGGCCCACCCACCATGGCTACGAGCAGTGACCCTGGCCGTGAGCGGCTGGACCCCGACTCTGATAAACAGACCAGCAGTCTCACCGACATTATGAGTGCCATGACCACAAAAGACTCTGATGGCTCTGCTACCAACGGCGTCAGGAATGGCGTGGCTCAGCAGGAGGGGGCTCATGCCAAGAGGACCCATGCTTTGCGACCTTACTTGACCGGAAGGAAGTTGTCGCTGCAGGAGAGAGGCACCTACATGTCGTCAGGAGGAGGGTACACGCACATTTCCCCTCGTGTGGCTCGCAGGCCCTGCGTGGAGTCCAAACGTGTGTCCATATCAGACGCCCAGGTAAGGAAGTGATTTCCTTTCATGATAATCAAAAGTCAGCATTATAAAAGTGATTCAATTAAATAAGAAGACATGGTAAAAAAACTAAAACAGTGATTCCCTTTAATTCCCTGTATTTCTCAATATATCTGCATTATCACCAAATATAGGGGAGCAGAAAGCCAGTGGACAACATGATAAGAGAAGAAAAGTGTGAGAAGATGTGCACACTAGTCTCCCATTGGCACCCATCATGGAATAATGCCTTTGTCTAATAACTAATTTATGTCATCATTATCCTAGCTTCTGCCACTGATGTGTAGCCTATATAATACACCATGTCCTGCACTGTGAGCACAGAACATTTTCCTATGATGTTGGCTGTGAGAACAGCCCCTTTTACTCATCAGACAGTCATGAAATGCTTTCTAGCCAGCCTTGTGCTGCTGGAAAAACCATTAAAGAAGAGTATGATGGAGGTGGGCGCAGCTAATCACTTGCCAGGATAATAATTTGGAACATATTTTACTGTGTGCATGTCTGCTTTTATAGTAATATAAAATTCTACATTGGTCACGTAATTTACACACTGTAGTTTTAGATTAAGGCTGTTCCGGTTTGTTGGAAAATGTACATGCCTGTTGCATTTCTGATATAATGCACGTTCCCGGGTGTTTAACATCTTAAACCATTATCTGCTTTATTACCTGTTTTCTACAGGGAGGTGATATACACACCTTATTGATGCAGTTGTTAAACCTAACCTTATTGGATTCAGAACATCTCACCAGAGGACTGCAGTTGAACATTAGCATACACTGGCTAACACTTGCATATAGCTGACATATAGCTTAGGTTAGTTAGAGTGAGAACAGGGAAAAAGCTAGCCTATCTTTGCCCACATGTTGTTATTGTTTCTTAGAACTCAGCAAAATATAGCACTGTAAAAGGAATTGCTTGACATTTTGGGAAATTTCTGCTGAAATTGACACCTCTAACATGTAGCGCTAGGAAACATTTAGCTTAGCTTAGGTCAGGTAGCATAAGAATAGGGGGAAAACTAGACTGTCTTTGTCCAGACCCGGCGCCAGAACAAATCTACAGAGAGGGCATATGATTTTCATGGGAGGGCACACAAAACCGTCATGTGCCGCGGCATGTGGCGGCGCCAGAGATTTTCTTTTGGGGGTGCTGTGGGGTAGCTTGACGTTTCATAGAGGGTGCTCAAACATGTAGGGTTTCCCATTAGTGTACCAGGCGCTACAGTGGGATTTTCTACTGCAACACTCCCCACATACACAGTATACCCGCGACTGTTACAATGAAGGCTCGATCAGCTCACGGCATATAGGTGTAAGCAGGGGTAAAGTGCTATTTTTTTTTAAGTTGGGGGGGGACCTAACCTCCTCTAGAGGGGTCCGGGGGCATGCTCCCCCAGGAAGATTTTTTTTTTTAATATTGAAGTTAAATGCATCAATCTGGTGCACTTTGAGAGCAACATTAAGAGATCTATAAATAATAAATAATAAAAAACGTGTTTATTGGGGGAGGGCAGGAATGTCACATGGGAGGGCCTGGCCCCCCCTGGCCCTCCCACGGCGCCGGGTCTGTCTTTGTCCAAGGTTTTTGTTTCTCAGTACTCAGCAGTTATTTAGCACTGTGAAAAAAATAGTTTTACGAATTTGAGAAATAGCTGCAATGATTGATTCCACTCACATGTACAGCTAGGAGACATTTAGCTTAGTTTAGGTTACTTAGCGCGAGAAGGGAGCCAGTGAAAAAACCTAGCCTTTCTCACACCAAATCTTTTTTAAAACACCGGCTAACACATCTATAGCTTAGTAAATTATATCTGGCTGTGGGGTTTCCTGGCAACCAGTGGAGAGTTCTAGCAGTCACTGAACCCAGCTAAGAATTATAATCCCGCATAAATCCTGAAACCTCCTGTAAAACGGAAAAGTACTGTGCATTTGGCCAACATCATTTGGAGTCAGCCGTATATTGCGTATAAAAAATGATGACTACAACTATTGACATAACATAGGAAACAAGCTGAAAGCATCTCTATGTGCTAACCCATTCAAAACTAAGAGCATACTGCGGCTGTGGGTGATATACCGAATTTCCATTTACCTCTGACTTTTTTCCAATTCAGAGTGAGCATTAAATATTCATAGCATCTGCCAGGCTGTGGAACCCCTCTGATTTTAACAGACTGCTGCCACAGACTCCCAGACCTGTCATTGTGTCCTTTCCGATCTGGAAATGGAGTTGCAGCCTCTCGCACTGAACCATGAAAAGGACTCATGTTGCTTGTATTTCCCTGCTCTCTCTGAATCTACAGTATAAAACAGCAGAGGGAAAAAAAGAGAGTGAAAAGTACTTCTTGAATGCATAAACATCAGTTATGGCTGACATTTTGAGTTTATTCACTGTTTCTCAATATAACAGCAGTCACCACATTGGAAAAGTGGTTAAGAATAACTCGCACATGCATGTTTTCCCAATTGGTGTCAGATTCTATTTCTCCGACCCTCATTAAGGACAGTGAAATGTCCACCTTGACATGTAATGAACCCAAGTGCTATAAGCCATATGAGGATAATCTGCGTGTACAGATTTGGTTTAACTAAAGCACCAAAACTGTTCACTTCTTTTTCTTTCTCTGTGGCAGAAAAACTTCTCTTTGGTTCTCACTACTGACTTTCTCATCCCATTTTTAATTGTGTCTCACTCTATTTTGTACACATAAAATTATTGTGTACAATTTTCTTTCCTCCTGGGAAGTGGGAGGATTTCTTAAGAACCCATACACTTTTCTGTTTTGTGTGTTCAAGTTAGGATTAAGAGAATCCAGAGAAAACCGACCAAAATCATGGGGTTAAATGTATGCCTTTAAGCAAACTGCACCCAATAGTAGGCCACAAGGCACATCCAACGTTATGAAAGACATGCAAGGTTACAATTCCAGTACCGAGGTTTAGGCACCAAAGCTAAGTGGAAGGGTTACGTAATTATGTTAGTTACACACTTTGCTTACATATTCCAAATCATAGGGATGTAACGATACACTCAACTGACGATTCGATACGATTCACGATTTTAAGTTCACGATACGATTTTCTCACGATTTATTAATTTTTTTAACAGAATGACTGAAAAATATTTCTGTATTTATATAAACTATACAAAGCGACGTACATGTTCTCATCAAAAGTGCAACTGAAACTGTGCAACTGTATTTTATCTTAAATAACAAAAATATACATAACTGGATTTTGAAAACAAATCCCTCATCAAAATGAAACATTTCTTTTTATTTATGGATATCTTACTAATCACTCCCCTTTTTAAACTGTATTTTTATTTATTTACTGTCCTATAGTACACATTGGAATGATTTCTTACCTTGTTTTTTACAACTATGTTAAATAGATAAAGGTGTGCATTGGAAATATTTGTTTACATAGATGACCAAACAATTTGAGACCCACTGAGATAACTTTAGACTAAAGTCAAAGTGTTATCTAAACACTCAGGGAGTCCTTTACCTCACTGAGCTGTAGTTATCAGCCTCTCAGTCTGACAGGAGAGAGCTCTCCCTCCACCTTGTTGTAGAAACAGCTCTTTATACCCGTTAGCGCAGCTAGCACCAGATGCTAATAACAACAGCAATCCCCGTAACTGGTGCGCGCTCGCTCTCTCTGGCTCTCTCTAGCTCGCTCTCTCTGGCTCTCTCTCGCTCACTCTCACAAAATGCGCTCGTGCCACACACACACACACAGAGGATGTGTGCTCCTCCGTGGCGATGACGGCTTGCCTTAAAAAGTAATAATAAACACATTTGAAAAGTGGGGGGGGACATGTCCCCCCTGTCCCCAGTGGAAATTATCCAGAGTTATCCAGTGTGTCGATTTCACGGGCATTTCGTTGGACGTTTGCACTGAGGAGAGCAGCTGCCACGGCAAGTTGTTGTTCTAGATAGCGTTCAATCATGTCCAGACTGCTGTTCCAGCTAATCAAATCAAATCAAAATGAGTTCACGCCCTGTGCCGTTTAAAGAATTGTATCGCGATTCATTTTTTAGCTCAACCGATTTTAATCTTAACGCATCTGTACCGATTTTTAACCGGTTCACTGTGCATTGTTACATCCCTAAATCAACTAAAAAAACGTTAACGTTGACTTTTGGTTTCACATAGGACAGGAATGCAGGTCCCTTCTTGGGTGAAAGTCTCATAGGCAGGAATTGTGATGCAATGAAAGTGTCGCAATTTTTAAAGTTTTTTTCAGTAATTTTAAGTTTATGTGGCAAAACTATATGGATAGCTTTAGGAAACACACCACGTATTGGTTCAAAATAAATAAACGTACTAGCCGAAGTTTGTTACATGGATTAGTTATGTGACTTTGCTTACATAGGCTACGTCATTTTAAATAACTGTACCTTGAATATAATGTTGACTTTTTGGTTTCACACAAGCGACACCACTCTGGTCTTCTGGGGGAAAGTCCTGTTGTGTGTTTAACCAGACAATCCTCCACTCAACAATATCAATATATGATGGTGAACTGAACCCTCATGATGGGTAGCAATTGAAAAACTTTTAAAAGCTATTTAATGGCCTGACATCATCCAAAGGGAATGGAATAGAAATGACCGTGACAATATTGGAACATTTAAGTGTTAAACTTGAATATACAAATGTCTCTACCCGAAATGTCTTCGAAAAAGTTCAGCCACAAAAAGTTTACAATTGTATCTGTTACATCTGACTAAGTGTACAATAAATTAGCAGCAGCAGATGCAATTGAAAATTACTAACTTTGGCAGCCCCTCAAGCTAAGATTAATGTTAGTGTCACAGTTCATTAGTAGAGTAAATGATGTGCTTATCCTGACATTGTCATGTATTCTGGACACTGATACAGAACTAAATATCTGTTCATTTGGTATTTCATCTTAAAGAAAAATCTATTTTAGTTCCTCAACCCAACCCAAGGAAATAAACCATCTTATTCTGCAAGGCTCTCACTTTGCTACAGCCAGGATACCGCTCTGTAAAAATTGATTTAAAATGAAAGGTTTAGGAAATGATTTTACACATACTGAACAGGTTTTAAATAGTATCCAACACAAATTCCTTTTTTATTACATATACATCCTGAGGCAGGTATCCTCATCATTCATCATAAGAAGGAAATTCATGGCCATTGATTTTGAACACCACAGTGGCAGTGATGTATTTGTTATGCACTGATATTGATCAGATGTTCCAGTAATGGATGCAGGGTGGGATGTGGAAAGGTTTCTCACTGAGGAAAGACAGCGCTGGTTATCCAAGCAATAGTCCAACATAACAGTGTGACCGAAAAAGCCCTCTAAAGATTTATCTGAGCCCTGTGAAGCATTTATCCATGTGCATGTGTGGCAGATGTATTTAAGGCTTTCTGCATGGCCTCTTTATCCATCAGGCCTGACAGACAGAGTATTAACTGCAGTGGACGCTGAGCATGTGGTGGCAAAATGTGAACCCAATAGAAGTCCTCTCAGACAATCCCCACTGCTCTTTTCTTTGGCTTCTCCTCATTTGACTTTCCCTTTATCCTTTGCCGCCCTATTTTTCTACATTCTCTTTATCTCTTTTCAACCAATCAAAGCATTCTTTAAGAAAAATTTCCACTGCTTGCCTCACCTACCAAAGCGCTGTCCTCTTTTTCATCTCCAACCCTTTCTCATAATCCCTGCCCACAGTACTTCACACCATTATAGCCTACAGTGCATAACCCTCGAATGCACGATCCTTACATCTCCCACAGCACAGCCACGCTCAGTACAAGCTACATAACCAGAGAGTTATGTAACCCACTACATAATGTCATATTTTCTAAAATACCTTGCCTAGTGGAAACTGAAGTCCTGCGCCATGCAGTACTTTCACTCGGTGTGTTTATTACATCTGTGTTCTTATAACTCTGATCCTGTTAACGTGTCCCGGTATCAAGCCTCAGGCCACTAACTGGAACTGCTTTCAATCAATTTTCTCCACAGCTTTATCCCCTTCGTTTGAACTGCAGTGCATGATATATATTCCAGGGAATAAAGTGTTTGCCAATAATGTTAAATGTATATCATTATGTATTATTCCAAATATTAATAGATAACCAAATTCGTTTTAATTGACTTTAAAAGCACAGTAGACTATTGGGGAGAGACTAGTTAAATGTAATTATTACCAGGTACAATTACTTGGAAACAAATTATGTAATTAAATGATAGTTGTATATCAAAAAGGTTGGTGTTTACGAAGAGGTTACATCCACATGTTTTCTTTTTAGGAAAAAGCTTACCAATTTAACATTGTTTTGCCACTGATATGAGTTTAAAATCTATATTTTTAGGGAGATTTAAGCTAGATTGCCCAGTTTAAAACAAACAAGAAAAAAGAGAAGATAAAGAAGAAGCAGGCTATGGCTGCACCAAATAGTCTCCTAAACGTTAGCCGGCTAAAAAAATCTCAGTCCAGCAATTTTTCAATACTTTTGTAGTGTCAGCCAAAATCTCATCAGACTTCATTCTGGAGCTGTGCCTGGTCATTAGGTCAAATCTTTTGGGCAGGAAATACAAAATGTAGGATCATTTTGAGCGTGGAAATATATATAATTATATATACAAATAATTACATGTAGTACAATCAACCATAATGTTACTTATAATGTTCATTCTCAGCCCTGGAACTGAAACCATTTTGTGAAGCCAAAAACATATAATATTAATAATCATAAAAGTGCAACGACTAGTAGACTAATTGCCTGAATTGACCATTACTAATCAACTAGGAAAATATTTTGTCAAGGACAGCCCTAAATCTTGTTGACTGGTGAGCCAAACATGTCGTCGTCGATATGTACGTTTTCACAGATACAGAAGAAGAGGACTCAATTGCTATTTGAAATACAAGCTTTTTTATGCATCATATAGAGACATATAGTTCAGTTAGATTTTGTTAGGCCCATAAGATATTTAATAATTCACCCTAGCATATCTTAAAAATCATTTGTTATGTTATCTGCAAATCCATATCGTGTATCCCTAATGTTCTCTGTTTATTTTCCGCTCATTGACTTTGCTGTCTGTGTGCACCCCATGCCTCTGAATTGCCCCCCTTCCCACGTCCTGCTGTGGTCTGCTCCTCTCCGCCGTGCCCCTGGCTGACTCTGTGCTGTAGCAGCGGTTGCTATGGAACTGCAAATCAGCCATTTACGCAGTAGCACTCTAATGGATTTGCAGACAGTAAACAGAAACTACAGACTGCATCGTTACCTACATCTCTGAAATAAATGACTCTCAGCACGTATACACACACAGACAGCGGGGACGCTTTGTTCCCGTACCAAAGGCAGCCCTGTTTCTCTTTGCTTTGGATGATGAAAGTGCCTGTCATGTTTATGTTGATGATTTAGTTCCTCATGTCCCCCATCTTTTCTGTCCCCCTTACAGGACTGTATCCAGTTGAACCAGTACAAGCTGAAGAGTGAGATTGGAAAGGTGAGTTTTTTCCTTTTTTGCTGAATTAGGAGTGGTTTAAGAAAAGAGAAGATTGACCCTTTGCCCTTATTTAGAAATTAATTTGGTTAGAAACGCAATAATCATAGCATGTTAGCTGTCAACTGTAATGCTAGCGGATTCATTTGCACTTGTTTTTTTTATTATTTGGAACTAATGAGATGAAAATTACTATAGTAAAAATCCTTCTTATCAAACTCTGTCAACGGGGAAACTGTTCATTTCAATTATTTATATTTATGAAATGTTCATACAAAGGTTAGTCTGATCGTTATCTACATGACAATTAAAAGAAGAAAAACAAATTGTTATTAAAATCCTCTTTAATGCTCACCACTTATCCTGGAGTCTTGTCTCGGGGGAAGCAGTTCCATCAGAGTGCCCCAAACTTCCCCTTTCCCATGCCACGACTGGGGGATTCCAAAGCGCTCCCAGGCCAACCTGGAGATACAGTATAATCCCCCCACCTGGTCCTGGGTCTGCCCGTCTGCCTCCTCCCAGCTGAACGTGCCTGGAACACCTGCCTAGGAAGATGGCTAGGTGGCATCCTTACCAGGTGCCTTACCACCTCAACTGGCTCCTTACTATGTGAACGAACAGCGGCTCTACTCAGAGTCCCTCCGGGATGACTAAACTTCTCGCCTTATCCCTGGGAGATTCCAGCCACCCTCTGGAGGAAACCCATTACAGCCGCTAGTATTCGCAATCTCATCCTCTTGGTCATGACCCATCCCTCCTGACAATAGGTGAGGGAAGGAACGAAGATGGACGGTTAGATTGAGTGCTTTGCCTTATGGCTCAGCTCTCTCTTCGTCACAATGGCTGGACAATTTCTTATTGAGATCAATTTGACCCAGACTGACATGCTCACTGGGGTTTTGAAATGTACCACTGAAAGTAAAGGTGAAGCTAAAGGAAATGTCAACTTCATTATGGTGCTAAATAAATAGTCAGAGGATCACCAGAGCTATTAGGATTCATCATCAGGGGACTATGAATAGCTGTACAGAAGGTGTACAACAATCCATCCAAAGGAGATATTTCCATCTGGACAAAAGTGGACAGACGGACTATCATCAAGAGCCTCACCTTTAGCATGGCCATCAAAAACAAACTGTGTGACAAAATCACTAGATTTGGTATCGTAAGGAGGATGAAATAAAAAGCACAACATTCAAAGAGTGCTGTAGAATTCATGTGGCGTGCTAGACCATTTCAAACTCCATAGAAGACACTGAGCGGCGGCATTACTAAATCTGACAGCACACCAGAACGACTCAGGGTTTTGCATTTCAAAAAGTGACGCTTGGAGATAAACTCTGCAGGGAATTCACTGTGGCAGCAAAAGAGATGGAAATTGAAAAAACTGGATAACTGAAAAGAGCTAATCTTGTTATACAATAAGGCAAGACACACTGTGTTTTTAGATGATCAAACAGCATGTATATGGCCTATATACAGCAGCAGTATTGTTTGATATTAAAGTAGTAGATATTTAATTTTAAAAAAGGACAAACATCAGATTGATATCTATATGTACACTTGATCATATCTGTGTTCAGAAATTAATCAGTGATGTCCTATTCTCTATTTTTAAACAGAGTGAATCCGTGAACACTGAATTGCTTCCGATTTGATCAGTTTTTAAAAATCTAAATTTGGAGGATTTCACACTCTAAAGCAAACAAATTGATTTTTGAGTGTCCATGAGATACTTGTCTTCCATTCATTTACCATCAGCCAGCTGGCAAATTTGGCCAAGCAAGACATGAAAAGTTATATAACGCGCACACTTTATTTAATTCCTGTGCGCATGTGATCAGCTTTCCAAGCAGTTTTGTTACATGTTTGTTCCTATCAGAGAAGAAACCATACTAGGATAAAAAATGTGGTGTGTGTGTGTGTGTGTGTGTGTGTGTGTGTGTGTGTATGTGGTGTGTGTGTGTGTGTGTGTGTGTGTGTGTGTGTGTGTGTGTGTGTGTGTGTGTGTGTGTGTGTGTGTGTGTGTGTGTGTGTGTGTGTGTGTGTGTGTGTGTGTGTGTGTGTGTGTGTGTGTGTGTGTGTGTGTGTGTGTGTGTGTGTGTGTGTGTGTGTGTGTGTGTGTGTGTGTGTGTGTGTGTGTGTGTGTGTGTGTGTGTGTGTGTGTGTGTGTGTGTGTGTGTGTGTGTGTGTGTGTGTGTGTGTGTGTGTGTGTGTGTGTGTGTGTGTGTGTGTGTGTTAATGTGGAGCATACAAAATAACATTGGATCTTCGTGTAATAATGTTTTACTGTGAACAAATATACCCACATCTGAATATGTTTTTACTGTATTGCAGGGCTCCTACGGTGTGGTTAAACTTGCCTACAATGAGGATGATGACAAACATTATGTAAGTTCTTGTTTTCTATTCCATGCAGCAACTCGTCTCTCAGTTTCTATTGCAAGCTTTACGTAGTCTTAATCATCCCATAGGGGTTCCTTTCGGTAAAATGACTATTTGACTCGCCTACTTAGATTTTTTGCTATTTACCTTATGTGAGAAACTGCTAAATTACTAAAACTTTTGCAGTTTGGAATCAAAACGTCTTTGCAAAAGGCGGGGCCTGGAAATACTCATCAACAATTTCATCAACAATTTATCCAATTATCATACATTTGAGTGGATATGTTTAATCCGTGTTTGGGAATGGGACAACCAAAGCATTTTCATGCTGACCCTAAATCTGCATCTCAAACCCTGATTAGCAGAATATCACTGAGATCTGAAGTATCGTAATTATTTAATGTGGGTGTGGCCTCATGAGGCAGGAAAAATAGTGCCACGGCGACAATGCTGTATGCAGCTTTAATTAAATATTATCCCGCGAATTACACACCGACTAAATCAATAATTTGACACAACAAATTGATTCAAACATGATTTTATTCAGTGATAAAGGATCGTTTTGCTTCCACCGAGAAAAATTAGTCAGTTCTACTGAATTGTTATGGCTGGTTTTTATACTCTTTTTCATTACTTTATTATAGGTCTCAGATATATACAAAAAATGTCTCTGAAGTGTTTGGCTCGAAATACCAAACAGATCATGCATTGCAGCATCCTATAATCCCCTCTGTTTCAGCCCTGTTTCAAAAGTGCTGATTCTGTAGCTTTTAGAATAAGGAGCCACTCCCCACGCCCCTCTGAGAGATATTTGGTTAAAAAGAACACAATGGTGCTCTAGGAGGAGATTCAGGGTATAAGGTGGGGGGGGGGTTACCTTGGTTGGTTATTGGCTAATGGTTACACAAGCCAAAACATCGTTATGACATCATAAAGTGGCCAAAATCTGATCAGCTCATTTTCAGACAGGTTTTTATATAAATGGATCAGGACGAAAAGAGAGCAAATCTTTTTTCCTGAAACTTTCAGAATCTCTTTACACAGAGGGGACACATGTTTATGTATAAAAGACATGAACAATTTGATTTTGCATAATAGGTCCCCTTTAAAATGAAAACAGCTTTGGTCGAGGTTTGTCTGTTCACATTTTCTTTTCAATTAACCAGTTTTTAAACACCTCTAGAGCTCAAACCTTGTTCCTTTTAGTTCCTTTAATTTATTTGTCTCATCTTCTTGTTGTTCTTGTTCACTTTCTTTTGTCTTTACTGTGTAGACATCCTGAATCTTAAGTTTCATGCTCTTAAAAAATATAAAAGCAAATCTTAAAACATTTCCATGTTTTTGGTGTTTTTCTGAAAGAGGAAAACTAATCTGTTTTTTTGGCCACAGCTGAAGTTGTGGATCAATATGATTGGACATGATCTGCCTTGATCAGAGCGTCCTCAGCAACGGTGTGCTTTCCAAATGTCCAAAATGACCAATCAGAATTGAGTATACAATTGAGCCATGTCACATGATATTAACAGATCTTTTGATTTTGTTAGTCCTTCCATCTTGTTGCTTAGTTGTTAGTCCAAGGCATTTGTTGCCTTGTAAGAAACTTGGAAATGAAAGTGACTTCTGGTGCTTCTTAAAGTGCTTCCAAGACTTTATGATCTATTTTCAAAGCAGTGCTGCTGTTGCTTTGATTGCCGGTAGCTGCTCAGAGGTCGGTTCAATCTGGATGTGAGCCAGTAATAGTCATTTCAGGTGTTTGCATCAAAGGGATATACACTTAAAAGCTTGGCAAACCCTGTAAGCCTTTTTATGTTTAAACATATCTCAGCTGCTACGTAAAGTAACAATGAAAGTGTTTGGATGAGTCATGCGGACTACAGCTGCCAACCCTGGATGTGTTTAAGATGTGCTTTTGAACTGGAGCCAGTGAGAGCTCCGAGCTAAACACAACCCAGTATTAACATGGCAGCTTGTAAATGGGCTGCAGAACGATAAACAACAGCGGTTTATGTAAGGCCAGAGATGAACCCTGTAACATTAGTGAAATATTATAACAAGTGAGAGTTTATATAGAGGAATAATGACATGCAGCTTTAAATAATGTCCAACTGTAGAACTTCAATATCAATATCTTTGGTGCAAGATTGTCCATAAAATGTGCATTTATTGCAGATTGTCCATAGCAGCGTAACAAAAAGTGTCCTGTGCTGGATTTGGGTGTCTGAGTGTGTGGGGTGTTATAGTCCAGTGGGGGCAGGGGAGAGAGGGGGGAGAGAGGGGAGGGAGGGGAGAGAGGGGAGAGAGGGGGGAGAGGGGGGAGAGATAAACATGACCTCATTAAAAGAGCTGAAAACGGCAACTATTATCATTATTTTCTGTTAATTGACAATTCAATCACTAATGCAGCTCTTTTGCAAATGTAACAAGCTTTTTTGCGGTTATGTCTCCCAGCACCTGACCAACTTTTGGCAAAGATCATGTTCTTGGTTTAGTACATAACATCCAATCCAATCCACTTTATTTATATAGCCCATTTTAAAAACAGAGGGTTTGCCAAAGTGCTTCACAATGAACATAACATTATAATAAAATATAATATTACACGAATAGATAAAAGGCACACATAAGAATAGATAAAAGGCACACATAAGAATAGATAAAAGGCACACATAAGAACAATAAACATGTTTACTTTATTAACATTTAACGGAACCATAATCTTTCCCAGGCCAACACTACACATGTTTTTAATGATGGCTGTAATGGCACTTGACTCCAGACTGTATATCTAGATGTTCCCAAGTATATTCCCATAACAGACAGAAAAGCATGTTCAATAACATTTTATTTAGCTGATTTTCTGGAAATTTGCTTTGTGCTAAATGTGGATAAAAAGCGGACTAATGTGCTTTTCTGTGTACACCCACCATCCACTCAGACCTCCTCTCTATGACTAGTCAGCAGTACATAAATATAGCTCTTCCCACACTACGGAAAAGTAGCCTTTGCCTTTTTAAAATGGCATCCGCCAAGCAGATTGGTGATTTTCCTTTGTCAGAATCACCCAAAATGAAACCACAGATTCATGAACAATTTTCAAATGCAACAATTCCTTCCGCCTGTCCCTACATACAGTATTTTGTTAAGTCTTTCCTTCCGCTCTGTGTGGAAGCACTGTTGCTGATTGTTGACGCGGATGTCACTTTCCGGGACAGACTGCAGGTTATTGCCTTCTGGCTCAAATGACAGACACATCTGAAATAACAATGACAGAAATCAGGAGAGGAGTAATGACTGCATGGAGGGTGATTCTATTTCCTGGCAATCTGGGCGGGTTTCATAAAAAAAATGATTGCATATTTCCTGCATATCTGCAGCATGAGCCCACATACAGTATGCACCAATATCACACACACAGCAGAGACAGGAAATATAATATATGATGGATATTATTTATTAGTTTACCTATTTCTCATTGGTTTAGGTAAAGGTATAAACAGGAGTTTTGTGCAAAAGGAATTACTGTTATTACATTATGTTTTTTAATATTAAATTACAACACTTAATGTGTATTCCAAGTTCTCAGACTTGGCATCAACATCCTGAGGAAAACACTGATACATATTTATGTTGATAAATTATAGGATGAATTAAAATAGGTTTTAACTTGAAATGATTTAAGGACCAATTATTACCACTGTTAGGATTTACCACAAAGGTCTTTTCTTCAAGTGAGCTCGAACCCCAGGTTTTATCGTCAGAGACACGTTAAAGAATATTAAAGGTCTCTGAATCCTGCCAGTGTTAGTGTGGCATCATGTGTTGCATAATTACCATGATCACTACTTGATTGGCAGGCGTCCAATTGGGATTCAGGCCCTTCATCAGCCTCAGGGGGCCAAAGTAAATGAAATGTATGCAGCCTCCACTCAACTTAATTGTAATTGATAGAGCGATGAGTTCATAAGCAGGAGCACACACATACACACAACAGCTGTGCATGGTACCAGATTTGGGGAATTTATCAAAATGATATTAAATATAGCCTTTCTAATATACAAAAACTGTCAACATGTTATCCGCTTGTGGGCCGCAGTTGAGTTTTGTTCAATAAATGAAGCTCAATAAATTACATTCACCTACACAATTGGTAACATTAAGGCCAATACAAACTGACAATGTGCAGGTCTTAAACTTATATTTATGAAATCAAATGTACATACTTTTTAAAGTCAGCCTCTTTTAGCCATAGCCATTCCCTTTCCATTGAGTAGTTCTCAATGTCAGTTAGATTCAGTTTGCTGACAAAATGTACATAAGGGACAATTGGGAAACAATGCTGCCATACATCAAGTATGACTATTTACTTTTCTACAGCCGTGTTTAAGTTTTATTAAATTACTGTGTTCAAGTGTTCAACCAGGAGAATCACAGAGTGGATATGAACAGAATCTCACTGTATTCGTCAATAGGTTAAGCATCGACAGCACATCAAAATGCATCTACATAACAAAACATGGTCATTTTTTATTTTGAAAGCAGGTCAGTTTTAAACGTTTCAAGGAGTAATGGAACAATTGGCTTTTTTTAAAACTTTTTTTTTTTGTGACAAAAATCTTAAATCTTTGCCGATGTCAACACTCAGTATAGGGTAAGCCCATTAACCTTAATTTCTCGGCTATAACGTGTTTGATTTTAATCTCTTAGCAAACAGTGCACATGTCTCGTTTACATGCAGAGACTTGTTTGTTTGCAGATTAGACTTCTGAAGAATTCAAAGAAGGCACAATTGCTCATTGAAGGAATTATATGGTGACTGACATCATACCTAAACCTTTAAATGTCCCCCCTCTTACAAAATAAATGTCCTGCGGTCAAGATTTTGACTGCCTTTGATCGACAACACCTACACCTCACCAGTACCTCCTTTGCACATACTCAGAAGCCCTTTAACTGACTCACAAAACCTCAATTACTGCCATACTTACCAATTACATGTTTGATAAACTACATTTTCTGTGTTAAACTTCTTTGGCACACCTTCTACCAAAAAATTCAGAATTTCATTTTCTAATGGCATTATAACTGTCCAGGTACAGCAACGTAAAAATCACGAGCAAATAATAATAGATGCAATAATTTTTTTTTGGTTGACACACACACACACACACACACACACACACACACACACACACACACGCACCCCACACACACTCAAAACCATGGAAACTGGATACAGGGGAGGATCTACTCTCCTGCCAAAACGGTTTTCTGCACAGTCATAGCCATGGCGTCCAGTTTTAAAAAGGAACTGCTGAGCCGGAACAATCTGAGGTGTTGAAGTAGAAGAAAATGTTCCACTTCACCATGAAGCAATGATCAGTGAAATGGTGCCATGCCATTATTCCGACATTTCCATATTTTTAAACTAATAGTTGGAAAATGTCCCATTTGATTCAAAGCCCGTTGGTCCGACAGCCCTTTTGCTGAGATGCGTATTGCACACACTCTCCCTGCAACAAACACAAGCATATGGATAATTATCGTGTAAAATGACGTAATTGTTCCTTCACTGTCTTGATATTTTTATACAACATGACCCACCCTACTCTGCCTCAGATTGGCTATCTTGATATTTGAAGCCTTGCCCTAATCAATCTACCTACTCATGCCTCGTTGCCTGAATGGTAGAGTTGGTTAAGTTTAGGCATGATAACTGAACTAGCCCAACCATTGGTCAAATGACATACTGTCGGAAGCCGCGAATGAAGAACACGGAGCAACACTGTCAGCGCATACATTTACGTACCTTAATACATGCAGTAAAGGGCACCAACACAAAGCAATACTTAACAATAACAACAACTGTAATGCTTCAGCATTAAACACTGACACACATCACCGAGGTCACAATATCAATCGATCCAGCAGCGCAATAGCCTATAGGCAAAACACAGAAGATCAACAAAATATATGACATAAGATATTTGTTTTTTGCATATTTTTGGAATTATTATTTTACCCACCTAGGAAACTGGAAACAAGTGTGTTTTGGTTAGGGATAACGTACTGTCGGACTAGCAGAATAGTGGGTTATCAGGAAAATCCTTAGTTAATCTCCCTGACATTCTGATAACATGGTATTATTTTCGAGAAATGTCTCTAAAAGAAAGTGTGTTCTTCTTTTGCATAACCAATTCCTTGTTATAAAACATTATGTCGTTGAGTGTTTCCTGTCACACACACGCACACTCACCATTTTCCTTTTTACATGCTCTTTTGCATAAAAGACATTCAGTTGCCTCTGACCTTTTAAAAAGCATAATAAGACGGTTAATGAATCCATTTACTTAAAATACTTACCTAACAAACCTTCAAAGTGTTACTTTTTACTTTTTTTCCATCTACATTTCCATTGCCCAACTAAAAGTGTAATCTATTTTATTTATTGGTAAACCTGCTTTAGTTTAATTTAAGAATAGATATCACTTCTTGATTAAAGGTTTTACTCTTTATACTACCGGCATGTAAACCGTATGTGAACTCATTCTCTACTTTCCTAGGCCATGAAGCTGGTTTCCAAGAAGAAGTTAATTAAGCAGTGTGGTTTTCCACGTAAGTCCTATTCTATTCTTCTTGACACATACATGACATTTAAAAGCAGATTGAGATAATAAAAATGTTATTGATCTCCGATGATATACATGTCATTGCAAAAATAAGTCATAATTTAAAGGGGAAACGGTTTTGAACCTGTGAAAACAAGTGTCAAACGACAAACAATTTGTGCACTATAAACACTTTTGCAGTGTTTTTTTTTGCCTGCCCTTTGAAGCATCAAGATTGTGTTAGACACTTTATTTAAAAGGGGACACATATACATTTTGGTTTCTTGAGTGGCTACCAACCCAGAAACTGTGAAATATGTCAACCCAGACAGTTTTTTGTTGCCAGCTTAGTTACGAAAACATGGATTCTATGAGCCAATTCGATTTGGGTCCCCTTACAATGTCACATGCAGTCTCATTCAACTGTTTCGTCTCCCATACTAGTGTCTTCAAACAAGGCTTCAAAACAACCTTTTTTAAAGGTGTGACATATTTTTCTTGCAAGCTAATTAGAGAAAATTAGGCTTTTTCCAAAGGGAGTCTTAAAGAGACAGGCACTGAAACAGAGCTTTTCGGACAGCTATGAGAACAAAATATGAAAACATGTAAATATTTCCTAGTAGAAACTCAAAATACAAGCATAAACCTGAAAATGAGCATAAGATGTCTACTTAAAATCTTGTTTTGAATACTTCGACAGCTGTATTATCCCTATTAGCAAAAGGGGTTTGCTCTGAGGGATACCAGACTGCTGCCTTCAGGGGGATTGTAAGACTAAAACCTAAATCCTAACTAACGTAGCAGTGAAGACAATTTGAGTTACTATAGATAATCATGTTATATGATTGCTCCTGTCAAGATAATCATTATCAAATTAATCATATTGTGTGTGTGTGTGGTTTTCGTGGTGGTCTCCAGGTCGCCCACCCCCAAGAGGACCCAAGGCGGCTCAAGGAGAGCAGCCCAAAATCTTAGGACCCCTGGAGAGGGTCTACCAAGAGATCGCCATCCTCAAAAAACTGGACCATGTCAACATTGTGAAGCTGGTGGAGGTGAGAGAGTCTCTTCTCATTTGGTTCAGAAACCAACCAACGCATCAGTGTTATTGATATGAGACTTAAAGGACCAGTGGGGAGCATTAGAGACATCTGGCACTGAGGTTACAGATTACAACCAATTTAAATGGTCAAATGATGTATATTTGGTTCGTTTTTATTGTCATTGTTACTTATTCAAAAACCCCTGAATGAACCTCCTTTGGGGTTCTCTTAGGGTTAGCAGTTTTAGACATGCTAGCAGAAAAGCATTGTAAGTTTGTCCATTGGTCCACCACTTTTGTCCAAACTGAAATATCTCAACAACTATTGGATTGGATTGCAAAAGCTCTGCATAAGAAAACACTTAACTGGTGTGTTTCAGCAAATGTAGATATGTTTAATGTCAAATACTTTGAGCTGGAAAGGAAGTGGACATATGCAGTAGGGGGTTGCATTTGTAGTATTTATAACAAATGATAATTCAAATGACATTTAAAGCATAGGCTTAGCAGAGTAAACCACCTTTTAAATTACAAAAATATACACATGAGTAAAATATTTAAAGGTCCCATAGCGTCAAAGGTAAGACTGGTATGTATTATTATAAATCAAATAAAGAACTAAAATATATCAAAATGTATAATTCAAGAACAATTATGAATGACTATCAGTCTTTATCTCTATGCCCTTTGGTTGTGTCTTTCGTCATGGCAGGAAGTGACATTAAGCAAGCCAACAATCTGAGATTCAAATTTCAAGCACGCATTGTTAAACTAAACTGAAAATGGCTATCTTGCTGAAGGAAAATGTGCCATTTCACAACAGTTTCTCTGATAATAATGTTGACATCCACAACAGGCTTGCTTCAGGTCTGGATTATCCTTTAGCCCTGTGTCTTCAGATAACCTCTCTTGCTGTGTACCCTGACTTCACATTTTTATCTATGTCAAATCTGTTTATATCGCACCAAAAATGGTAGCTCAACCCTGTGCTGCCAGTAAACAGTTGGCAGATTGAATAGATTTACCCTCCAGCACACCTACAGTTTCCCTCTGTCATTATAGTGTTGCGATTTTTGGTGAAAAACAGTCATTTAGATAGATTCTCATAATAACAGCCAATACTCTCCAACGTGTGTCGGGTTGAGGACTCTAGAAGATGGATAGACTTTCATACAGAGGCGGCTGTTTATGAAAGATGATTTTCAAGACGTGACTCGAGATGCCCGCCGCTCCCTTGCGATATCATCTGAGTGATTTTCCATCTTGGGCAGATGGCGGGGGCGTCGTGGTCGAGAGTCAAGCTCAGGGACCTAGTCGGGAGGAGAGCTGTCTGGCTTGCTCGGGTGTAGAGAGTGCCAGAAATATAATTGTTGAACCTTCTCTTAATTAGTAAAGCTCAAGACAGACAGCAAAGGGTATAAGTCTGCTTTTCTCCTCTCCTTCTTTCCCGTTTCATTTTTTAAACTGGGCTGTGCTGGGGTCACCATCACATTCAATACTGGTTTCCAACTGAGACTGCAGTCGGGTCCATCTAATTATGAATATACTTTTAAAAACATGATAGGCAATACCAAGTGGAACAAATTCAAGCTAATATGGTCATTTGTTGAAGATGGTGTGGAAAGAGCGACCACCTCAGTGTTAACGTCCAAGCCTCACTTTGTGTAATTTCTCCATAAATCAAGAATAAATCCTAGGCGCTGCATTTATCAACAGCTACAAATGAGACGCTGGGCTACTAATGGTTTGCACTTTGTAACAGCTCACATACTGTAAGCATGTTGTCCTTTTACTCAGGACAGAGGAAACATACAGTAAGAGTGTTTATTTAAGTGTATAAGACCGTGTGAGCAAACATGGTGAATGATTGATCATACTGACTTTCGTTGCCTGTTCAAACTGACATCCTCTTGCTTTACAGAAACATTTCCTGCTCTTGTTTTTCAATACTCTGTGTCCTTGGACGGTGTTTACCTTCACTGTGGTAATTTAAATTCACCAGCGTGTTGTGTTTAATCTGAACCCCGAGCACTTTAAGGATTTTTCTTTTTTAAATCCTGTCACATTTCATTTACTGTGGCCTTGTTTTTCACTGCAGTAAGCCCTGAACACCTATGGAAAGTGCCAGCACTATAATGGCTGGAGTGGGTTGTGGGTGGTTAAAACATGTATTTTTGACAGTATAGTTACAGAGTAATGCCATAAATGTAAAAGAATAATTTATTTTTATTTTACAAATATTAAGGGGAATATTGAGTCTTTATATACTTGTATGTTGATAAGGTATACTTTACTTTATATTGTTCCCATGATTGATACCAAAATTGGGCTACAAAAATCGGGGCTTCACATGATAATATTACGATAATGCTATTGACACTTTTACAACCTGTATTTACAACCTCTCTTGTCCTCTCCTCTGTGTTTTGTGTACAGTTCTTGGTGTCCAAAGAAAATAATTTGTTCAATGAAAAATCTAAAAATCCTTTCTGATGAATTATGTAAATGTGGTGATTTAAAAACAGACAGAAATACGCCTTTCAAAACCACCTGGAGGGCTTTGGGGCTCAGAAGGTTAAACCGATGCTCCAGATGGACTGTGTGCCCCGGGGCATTGTGGGATCAGAGAGCAATAACCCTGTAGAACTATGCGCCATCTACTCCAGTGGGATGGCCTGTTTTTCATTAACCCGGTTTAAACTGGATTATCAACTGGTTTATTAACTGGTTTGTTTTAATCCCATTTGAAAAACACTCCACTAACTCACAATATTAACTCGCAGGATGTACTCGTTTTACATTGCACTCCTATATTATAGTTGGACATACAATGGACCAACATGTCCTCATACCTTAAGAACAAAGTGACATATGTGATTGTTGGAGAGTACCAGCGACAGGCACTCCTGGTTTTAAACACATGATTTATGTGAAAATTGGAACAAAATGTATTAGTAAGCAGTGGCATTTCTAGACCAATTCTAGTGTGAAATATAAAATAAAATAATTAATATTTGTTGTTTGTTTCAGTAACAGCATTTGAGACAGTAACTTTATGACATTTTTTATTAAATGACATTTTTGAAAGCAGAATATATTAAAGTTAAATGTGGCTCTAGTTACAGCACATTCTTTGCTTCAACACAATCACCATTGGTATTATCATATACTTTTCTTTCTGAGTGAGCCAAAGGGGGGTCCTAGCTCAGTGTTATAGGGGCACTGGCCCCTGCTGGTAAGGTTAAGGAAACATAATGTGTTGGGTAGATTTTTGAGATATTGCATTTTTACTTCAAATGTTCTTCTTTTTCATCAAAGCGTGGGACCTCAATTACCCATAACACAACTTGGGTCACTCAGGAGTTTTGTAGTCCTCAGATCCAATGAACACTTTAATTCATCAAATTTCACACTGTTCCCTCTGGAGCCACAAAAGGCTTTGTACAAACCTTTTTCACAAAAGGTTTAAACTGTGACTCTGGGGTTTTGTGTCAAAATCAAATGTTCTTCAATAGAAAATCTGCAGATATTGAACAAAGAGCCAGAGGGTTGACAATTACAGAGTTTGCAATAACATCTCCATACCAATGTCCTCACTTTTGAGAACTTCAAACTGCTTTCATGAGAACAAATAACAGTTTAAAATATATTTTTTCAAACTTTTAATAAAAGTTTCAAAGGCGATATCATCACGATTCCCTCATTACTTTTCATAGTCCCTGGTAAGAAATACAATACTTTTGAATGTGTCCAACAGAATGCTGATTTTTATATTTTCCACACTCGAATGTAGTGGAATTTCCCATTGATGATGATAATGTTAATGTTGCAGGTACTGGATGATCCAGCGGAGGACAACCTTCATATGGGTAAGCAGAACTTATTTTCTTTTTACCAAATCTTCTTACTCTTTGTTCGGCCTCTCCTCAGCCTTTGGCGCTCGGCACATATGCCACTAACAAGTGTTCATATGACTTATTCATAATTCAGGCCATCTCCTGCTTCCTTCCACACCACCCCAGGCCTCACACATTATGCAGAAATCTTCCATCAGCAGTGCCAGGTCACAGTTAGGGTGCCCGTGACACGTCAAACTCTTTATGTGCTTAAAGTGGCACATTCGTAATAATAGAGTGATGCTGGGGTGTAAGCAGCGATCAAACTGAGCCGGATGAATTAATAAATTGTTTAATCTTACATGTTCTTATTTCCTCTTCCCTCTCTTTTTCTGACAGTGTTTGAGCTGATGCCGAAAGGGTGAGTAAAGAACATGTCCTTTTTTTTTCCTTTTTTAATAATTTAAGGCTCCTGCTCCTCTGCCTTCACCTCCTCATTTCTTCATCCCTCCATCCCTGCCCTTCAATACCCGAGCTGACACAGCGCGGGTGTTTGTTCCATCCCAGACTTCAAAGGGATTCATAATGTTCTTAGTTCTCTACAGTTATTACCAGTGGCAGTAATCCGTCTGAATGTTTCACGCCCTAATGCACGGGCTGTTTCTTCCTACACCACAAACCAAAATAGTGATGATCTATTGATCGGAGGCCCTTTGTTATTTTACACAAAGAGAAGTGGGAGAGGGGAAGCTGGTATCATTTCACACCTGCTCATAAATGAGTTATGCACACCTTTTGTTTGCTTTTTCATAATGAGAGAAGGTGTTTGCTCTCTTGTTGCCCCCAGGAGAAAAACGACAGACAGCGGAGCGTATTAATACTGCTGCTATTTGCTTAGTACTAAATAAATATTATCACCTTTGCTCACTATTTTTTCTCTCATTTCCATTTTTTTAATATTTTTATATATATATTTTGTATTTTGTGCTATTTTTCCTAAATATTTATTATCACTATTAATCTATCTCTATCTCTTCATCTATAGAGGTACACATGTTTCCTGTCCTTAAATGGGCATTATAACTGAACTGCTGATCAATGTACATCCTGAAAATCTGATTATCAAAACAGTTGCTATCAACATGGATTATATATTGACAACAAATAAAATTATTTCATATACTGTATGAGATGCAGTTTTGTGGGATACTGCTTTGTATTTTACTTATTCTAATATGGTGCAACTGTCACACAACCTAATTTCCCCTTGGGATATATAAAGTATACTAAGTGATTGATTGGTTATTGATTGATTGATACTTGTATTGCTACTGCTACTTATTCTATTACAATAGTATCAATTCATGCTATGTGAAAGCTGTGTTTGTACAATATTGTATGTATTTCTCCTGGATGACAAATACAACTGCTACTGCTAATAAGCACCTGACAAAGTATTACATGAGATTAAATGTTTTTTGATTTGAAATTTAAATCCCCCCTTTAATTTCAAGTCAAGCATTGCATAAACAAGTTGTCAGTCTATAGTGCCAACAATTTTAACAATTGATAAATGTTTCTCCTGAATCCCTAAGAGACAAGTAGTTTTATTTCTATCCTGTGCACTTATCAGAACATGCTAAATACTGTACGTTTTTCTATTGTCAGATTTGGGATCAGAGATGTCTTTATCATACATATTGAGTATCAGTGATGTTTGATCAGGACGTTAAAGTATGCTTAAATTAAATATGTATTAAAATGTCTTCACATTGGGGATCATATTCCTGTGCTAATGATTACAAACTGTCTTTGTATGTGTTTGTTTCCTATCCTGTGTGGATTTGCAGTCCAGTGATGGAGGTTCCCTCAGATACTCCTTTGTCAGAGGAGCAGGCGAGATTATACTTCAGAGATGTCATCCTGGGCATGGAGTACCGTAAGTACCTCACGCAGAACAAAAAGCTTTTAAAACTGTGAAGCGTTTAAGTGACACGAATACATGCTTTTTAGCTATTTGTCTCTAGTGCCCCACCTACATGCGTTATCTAACTACTCTTTACAATGAACGAGCATTTTCCTTTTAATTTACAAGGACAAAGTGCTTGTGACCCTTTATTCTCATGCTCCTTGGGGGTCTGGCTGCAGATCTGTGCTGTACACGTCATCAGTATTGAGCTTCTGTTGGGTGAAAGCTGTCGCCTCATTTGTTGAACAAGATCCATTTCACCAGGCTGGATGATTAGGGATCAATGCTGCCTCTCTCTATAAGCTCTGAGGTGCATCTTGGAAAATAAGCTACAAAGACTCATAGAGACAACTACAAGCGTATGTAAAATCCATTTACACTTTTGTTATTTTCATCCAAAAAAAATACATTTTGCCTCTGGTTCTCCATTACATTACACAAATACAGCCTGTGGAGTATATAGTAAGTATTACAGAAAGCGAAAATATCTAAACCCAAATTTAGATTTTGACAAACTATAGGATCAAATGTATTACGGTGTTAAATTATTCTCTGTTGTGCCTTTTCTTGTGTATTTAAAAAAAAAAATCTTTAAATCAATGCAATTCTGATCTGATAGGGAACTAGTTAAACCTTTTACAACATGCATTTTCCCGCCTCATGCATTACAATTACAATCATCTTTCTCACTGAATGTTACAGGGTTACCATGTTTAGCTTATAGTAGCCATATTTACCTTCTGTAAGACAATAGCGTCACCTAAATAATCGACATTCTAGATATCTGTAGTCATTCCTGAGGACATTGACGCTGGGTATTTTAGGCTTAATTGCATAGGCTTCTAATGAGTCAAGTTCCTCATATTTAAAAAAAACAAAAACATTCTTAGACGAGAAGGCCCCACTTATCCAATCAGTGAAGTGTCTGAGGGCTTAGCTGCAGACGGCTGCTAAGTGTTAGCGCTTAGAGACGTACTTCACTTTCAGTCCTAGATGAACTCAGGCTCACATTCATATCATTTTTATGGTCAAAGTGACGATTTATTATCTGCTGTAATTAGTGTGAATGCTGTCACAAGACCTTCAGCTATAAAACTTATTCTTCAGACTTTTGATATCTTTTACACTTTTTGAGATATTTAACTTAAAGTGGACCTATCATGCTATATTTAAATGATATATTGTAGGGCCATACCTATATAAGGTATATTTATACGTTTCTGTTTTCAAAATACCAAACAGATCATGCATTTTAGCCATGCCTCATTTCGCTCTATTTGCTGTTCTCCAGCCCTGTTTTTGCAGGGGGCTGATTCTGTGAGCTGCAGCTGACCACGCCCCCCTGCAGGAGAGGGGAGCGTGCTCTGATCAAGTCAGAAGAGGGGGAGAAAAAGAGATCTCCGTCCTCCGTGTTTTATTCTTATATGATTTATATAGAGTCATTATTCATTTGTTTTAAAGCTCAATAAATAACAAAGAAGACCTTTGACCGGCACTTTTCTAATTTTGTCCGGAAGATTTAATCTTTAACGGACATCTTGACCGGCGAAAGAAAACCTAACTGAAACTCTGCAGCACGGTCCCCTCGTTCCTTGGAAGAGGCGGAGAGGTGGGTGTTTGTCATCTGCTGGTGGACTAACCAGAGAGAATTACAGTGCTTGCCTCGACGGGGAGGGATTGCATTGAATTAAAGCAGCGGGAGCAAACGCTTGCCTCGGGGAGGGAGAAAAAAAGCCACAGCGGAGAATAAACAGAAGGGTAACCATGGCAACCATGCGCGGGAAGTCTTCTTCGCTGCTTTTGTGGCAGACTACAGCGCCGCTTACAGGCCTGGCATATGTACTACAGCGTCTCCAGCGCTTTCGAGCGGCAATGTCCGGCCGTGGCCCAACCCCACATTCCCCTGATAGGTGGAGAGTTGGCCCAATAGCCGTAGCTGATCTTTCGTCAGAGCAGCAGCTGCAAACCTTTAGTAAATCTGCCAAAAATGCCACATTATTGACCCAAAAGTACACAAACAGCAGACTCAGACGCTCGTCAGGGTCCTGACATGCTGCACGCGTTGACATTTTACCGATATCAGCTACCGTTTTTAAAACTATAGTTCGAAATGTAAGAGGTTTATCTCTCATTCAGATCAATGAAAAGGCTCTCCTTTCACTGCACATCTCCATGGTAACCTTTGATCTCTGCACACAGGTGTTTGATAACGTCGTCACCTCAAACACAAACACAGTGGCCGTTTCTCAATCGCGATGATATTGGCTTCCAAGCCAATATTTCAAGGATGCTACGTCATCGAGTGCCGCCGAAGGACTGTTCCAATCTCCAGCATACTTGGAATTCCACCGAGGCCGCGTCCTTGGTTTGGGGGAAATTTCGAGGCTGCACATGGGTAGACTTCGCGTCCTTAAAATCCCCACAATGCTTTGCGCATGGACCAATTTCCCCAAATCTGTGGCGGAAGATGTAAGGCGGGGCCTCTCATATGACGCACACCTGCACACTTGCTAGCCTGTTCCACTCTTCGTTTTCCGAATGCCAGGAAGTATTCTTTCCTTGCTTCTGAAGCAAGATGCTCGGCTCGGCTGTGCTACCAAGCCAGCATCCTCGCGATTGAGAAACGGCCACAGACTGTCTCAGCCTATTATTTTCTGTCTGATGGAGACTTCATACTGACTTCAACATGTTCCACATGTTTTATACATTATTGGTGACGTATGGTTTTAGTTCAAATGTTTGCAGTTAAAATATTCTGCTGCTTTTCAAAGTGTTTTTACTTTATTTTCTCTTCTTAATACACATTCATTCACTACTACTTACATTGAATATTTAACTCCTTCAGCGTACTTTCAGCAACAGAAACTATTCAACTATTGCATTATTCAGCTATTTCAGGACATTGAGGCTATACATGTTGTTGCTTATACCTTTTTTAAACCTTTGCTTTGAAATATTAAGCTTCTAAACTATTTTCCATCCAGAGACCATTCAACTAATACAATATTCAGCTTTTTCTGCATTTTCAGCTAAATTCAGCAACAAATGTTCACAGTTTACAGCATTCGCACGCATTTTATAGTTATGACTTATGTCTCATTTCTATGGTCAAGGTGACGATTTATTATCTGCTGTAATTATGACTTATGTCTCATACTTTCTTCTCTTTTCTTTACTACGTTACCCATTATGCAAAATCCACTTGTTCATGTCTTTTATACATAAACATGTGTCCCCTCTGTGTAAAGAGATTCGGAAAGTTTCAGGAAAAAAGATTCTCTCTCTTTTTGTCCTGATCCATTTATATAAAAACCTGTCTGAAAATGAGCTGATCAGATTTTGGCCACTTTGTGGGTTTTTTTTGCGTTGTGTAGCCTTATCACCTGAATCTCCTCTAGAGCAGGGGTTCCCAACCTTTTTTCCCAAGAGCCCCCCCCAAATGAGGGGGGGGGCGCAACAGCGGTAATTAAAGTTTAAAAGTCTCAAAAATGCTACAACTACTGTCACAAACTGGATGAATGTGAAGTATTTTGTTAAAGGAGGATGAAAGCGTAATCAAGGAGCACTATTGGAGTGACGTTGATGGTTATTGGACTCAGGATTAATTAATTTGGATTCGCTGTATCGCCACGTGCTGAAAAGTGCTATATAAATAAAATTGCCTTGCCTTGCTGTATGAAGAAATTAAAGGACGGCGCAAGTGGAAACAATTCACAAAGGGATTAAACTGTTTAAAACACATGTTCAAAGTAAGCCGGATTTTGCCGATGTGTTTATGTGGATTCAAAAGTCGTAGTCGCCCCCCAGGTTGGGAACCACTGCTCTAGAGCACCATTGTGTTTTTTTAACCAAATATTTTGCAGAGGGGCGTGGCCAGCAGCAGCTCATTAGCATTTAAAGATACAGACACAGAATCAAAACATGCACCGTTCTGCTTTATGAATCTTGATATATTAATTAAATAAATGTGATTGTAAAGTATCTGTCCATATTGAATACTAATTACAAGGACCATAAATGGGCGGCTATGGCGCAGTGGTAAGTGTGTTGGTGTTCGGATCAGGGGAGCACAGGTTCAAACCCCACTGCAGTCAGCATGTCATTGTGTCCCTGGGCAAGACACTTCACCCCAAATTGCTCCTATGGGGATTGAGTATGTAAGTCGCTTTGGATAAAAGCGTCTAACAAGTGACATGTAATGTAATGTAATAAATGGCACATTTCTTGGCGCACAAAAGATCAGAGAATCTGACAGTTAACTTCCTCTTATCCTCAGTGCACTACCAGAAGATTGTCCACAGGGACATCAAGCCCTCTAACTTGCTCCTGGGGGACGACGGCCACGTGAAGATAGCGGATTTTGGGGTCAGCAACCAGTTTGAAGGCAACGATGCCTTACTGTCCAGCACTGCTGGCACTCCTGCATTTATGGCCCCAGAGACCCTTTCAGACGCGCGAAAGAGCTTTAGTGGAAAAGTGAGTAAACTTCATTTATTCATTGTGAGCGTCCCTGAGTTTGAGCTCCCCTGATTACAGGGACCGCAGGTGTCTAAACTTTATGATTATAAAATGAAAATCATTAAACCAAGATGAGCTTTCAGAACTTTGCCGGGCTGCTAATCCAAGGAGAAAATTGTCATCATCAGTCTTTTCCCCTGTGTGTGTAAGCTGGTAATAAAGGAGCCAGTAATGCAGCTGAGAGAAGCACCATCAGCAGAGTCAGGAAATGGAATGATCGTTTTTAGATACCTGATATTGACTTGGGAACATTTTTTTACATCATTTTACTCTTGCTACTTTCGCAGTCAATCAATGATCAGTCATGTATATCGCAAATATCCCGCCACTAGTCCATATAACACTTGGAGTGATTCCACCTCTTTATACAATCCACCTCTCTCTGCGATCAATACAAAAAAAATTATTACAAGGAGAAGAAATATATATTGCATTATGACCACTGCTTGTGAATCCACTACACCTGCTAATTTATAAACCATTTTCAGACAAAATTAGTGATTTGAGTGAGTGTTTATCACGATTTATAAATTCATTTTAGGACCAAATATTGTTATTGCACTTTTCATATTCAAAAAGACAAAGCAGTGCTTTCACTTCCATGTGGCCCCTGCTAATTTCTTCAATTTAGAAGCAAAATATGAAGTGTTGCCCAAAGATAAAAATAGATATTTCACCACGGATTGTCGGGCACAGTACTGTATGTGAGCAGCGGCATTGACATCTTACCAAAAGGGATGCCAAAATACTAGTTTATAAAGTGCTTGATCTGGTATGCAGGCTGCAGCCGATATTTCTATGAGCAGAGCAAGCTTTTTCACTGCAATATCAATGTTCTTTAAATTGCAGGAAGCCAACATTTTTTTAAATATTGGATTCATTTGTAGCATTGACCTGAACCTCCCTTTCCAGGCTCAGCTCGCCTGTTGGATTTAGAAAACAAAAATGTGCTTTCTTTTAACTACCTTTTCTTAACCTTGAAGAAAAACGTCATGGTGATACGGAAAGATGTGAGAGGAACTCATTAGGACATGGCTATGTAATTATGTTGCAACATCGGATGTTGTTTAAGTGGTCGTGCAGTTGGGAATTTACCATATTTTTACAAAGATTAACTACATAAAACACATCTTTATACAGGCACACAAAATTGGACAATGGTGAAAAGATATATCTTCATCTCGAAAGGTTGGAATTAAAATATAAAAGTGAAAGGAAATGGATGCCAGCACTTACCATTATATCAATTGGATGAAGACGACCCCTTTCACTACAGGAGGTAATGAAGCATGTTGGACCCCCTTTATTATATTTTACAGAACTCAAACAGCTCTCATTATGGCCACCACTTAAGTCCTTCTGGGTCATTTCACTCAGTTAGAAACCTTCCTAAGTGAAAACGTGAATACAACCGCAACAAAATTCCCAACACGGATGTCTTATTATCCGGCATTTTAGGTGCATGTCATGCTGCTTCCATTAGTTGTTATCACAAATGACAGACTGATGGATTTGCTAGAGGAGGGTCCTTGCATGTCTACAAAAGACAGAGAAGAAGAGTAGATCTGATTGCAGACAGAAGGGATGTCAGAGCCATTCAAGGGCCTGAAGAAATAAATGCAGTCCTTTTGATGGCCTCTTGTCTTCTGATTAGTGTCGTATTCTTGCTGATTTGGATTTGTTCAAGCCGTGCTCCAGAGATCTTTTGTCTCCGTTATGCACCAACATTTCTGATTTTGGTGTAAATCAGCAGTAAAATATTTTAATATCTGACACTCGTATGTCACTAATACCCCTTCCGCTATCAGTCAGGGTTGTATGGTTAAGAATGTTAGTCATACAACAGCACCAAAAATAAAAGTCAGAAGGCTAGTTGTGTCATTTTAGATCCATCAACGATAAGAAATTGATTCCTAAAAGAGCTATTTATCCAGGGAGAGGGAGGACAGACAAGATGATGGATGACTAGATTGCCTCTGTAACCAATCACACAAAACATTACCTAACAATGTCCCATAAATCACTATAGGCCTTTTAAATTGATTTGAGTCATCATGTTGTTTGTGCAAATAGGTGTTTGGTTTGCTGCAATGTTTTCTAAATGTATGTTTTTCATGTCTCGCTCTTATTGTAAATACCGGCTCTTTCTTAAAGGCACTGGATGTGTGGGCCATGGGAGTTACACTTTACTGTTTCGTTTTTGGAAAGGTAAGTCTGCACATTTCCCATTTTAATATCTGATACAACAGCTGACTAGTGGCATATGTTATGTTAATAAAGGCTAGCTGATTATTGCTGTGATTTATCTTGGTTGTCTTAAAGGATACAGATTGTGTTTGGTACACACGGTAGTAATTCAATGTACCTTCCTTGTTTTTCTCACCGTCTCCTCTGCTCCACCTGCAGTGCCCCTTTATTGATGAGTACATATTGGCTTTGCACAATAAGATAAGGACCAAGCTTGTGGATTTCCCAGAAACGTAAGTCCATCTCCTGCATCCTCACCTCTTCTCCACTTTATTAGAAGCGACAGCAGTGATGTTCCTCCATCTCCATTCCACAGATGTATCCGATACTCATCAGAAATCCTTTCACCTTAATTTTATTTTCAGTAACAAATTGCACATACCAAAATATGAAAAGCTTATACAGCAGCCAGCAACAGCCAAAAATAGAATTCCGCCCGTTTGTCATCAAAACAAGCATTAAAGGGCAAAGAGTGGCATCACTGGCCTGGGGCCTCATTTATAAAGGGATATACGCTCAAAAAATGGCGTACGCCAGTTTCTACGCAATGTTTGCGATTTATAAAATTCTAACTTGACGGGAAAATGTGCTGTCCTCCACGCAAACTCTAACCCATGCGTACGCACTAAGCACACAAACGGGAGAGACGAGAAACTGCGACACCGTTGGCAGAAGGAAGAATGGAGAGAAATATGTGGAAATAATACCATAAATAAAATGTTACCTCTCATTTATCAAATATGAAGAATTCATTTTCAAACATTGATTAAAACCAATCTTAAAATGATTAAACAAACGCCTGTTTGAGACTCCTCAGTGCACACAAAAACATAACTTGAAGAAATAAATAAATACGGATATGTTATTTTTTTTGTCATTAACTTTTTTCGGACCACTTATTTATTTATTTTGGTGACGATCCGACCTCCATGCTGCTACTCTGGTTCAAACTGCATCCACCAAACAATATGATTTATCTCGACCTCCCCAAAATAACCAAAATCTGACACGGTGTGAGATGTCTTTTTTAGCTGTTCTGTCGTCATTTCCTGCGATCTTCTTCTTGCAGTCAGTCAGAATGAATGAATGAATGAATGGGCGTTTCTTTGACTATTTATAGGCAAATATGGGCGTGACGAGTCGATTGTGATTTATCAAGGGAAACAGGCGTAGGGAGTGCCGTACGCACTTCCCTCGCCGGTACGCAATGTTTTGTGAATTGGAAAATGTCGGAAAATTTCTGTACCTATTTTTTTGCTTTGTACGTAAGCAACCTTCCCACGTGAATCCTACGCAAGGCGTTATAAATGAGGCCCCAGGACACTTACTAGTGGAAGTCTTCTTGAGTGAATAACACTAAAGAGACAGAACGAGAAAAAAAAAGATTTGCAGTCAGGAAGAGGCGAGCAGAAGTGAAAGACTTAGGGAACGCACAAATATAGTGACACAAAAGTGAAGTATAAAACAGAACATGTAAAGGGGCTATAAGTAGCAGTTGGATTATGTATGCAATAGAGACTTTGTGACTGTGAAGAAAGCTTGTTCATTAAACATCACCCCCCTCCTCCCAATCGGAGTATCGCATCACTAATGGTATCATCTCCACACTATACCAATCTAATAGTTAGCTGCCCCTTGTTGGCAGCACTGATAGGTCATTATACTGAAGGTGTGCATTGTGATCAATGGCTGAGTTCACATAAACTTGTTTTACTGAGACACAAATTACCTCTATAACTATGATATATTCTAATCGTATTTTATCGGGGTCGGTGAAATGCAACATTGAATAGGCACCTTCCTTAATATGGAGCATTGACTTCCCTCACAGTTGCTTTGAAGTCCTAAGCATAAAGGGGCATAATTGCCTAATAGTAATGGATAAACAGGTTAAATAGTTAGCTTAAACTAAAAGTAAGGAATTAACAGGTACAATTGTTAGCCTTAAGTACTGGATAAACAGGTGAAATAGTTAGCTTAAAGTACTGGATAAACAGGTGAAAGAGTTAGCTTAAAGTACTGGATAAACATGTGAAATAGCTTGAAGCAATGGATAAAAAAGTGAAATATTTAGCTAAAACTAATGGATAAACAGTTCAAATACTTAGCTAAAAAGTAAATGATTACCATGTGAAATAGTTAGCTACTTAATAATGGAAATGTTAGTTCTTGCCTAAATTAAGGCTAAACATAGGATGGAAATCGTTTTTGATTAGAACTACCTGATCAGCTGATTTAATATTAGGGTACTTTTTTTTTTTCATTCAAAGTGTGTTTTAAATTCATCATCATCATCTTCACTGTTTGTTTCAATTAAGTCACTGTCTTAATGCTCAGTTAAGCTTACACTTGTCTCTATGCCAAGTAATAGTAAGTGACAAGCATAATCATACAGGTGTGAAAATGATGAGTATTTTCTATGTAGCAAGGGTGAGGTGGAAATGTGATTTTCCTCACTGCTCGCATAAGTCCAATAAGGAGTTGCAAGTAGATATGTTCTTTGTACATTGTCACAAATCAACTGTTTCATTACATTTCCAAATCCAACAATGTTTTAAAATAGTGATTCTGTGTTTCGTGCAGACCAAATATCAGTGAAGAGCTGCGGACTCTGATCCTGCGGATGCTGGATAAGAACCCGGACACCAGGGTTACCATCCCTGAGATCAAGGTAGAGAACAAAGCAGACGTAATTGAGACCCCGGGGTTCGTCACTTATTGTTTAGCTTGACATGCATTGTTCGTGTTCAGACACAAAATGACTGGTTTTCTCTCCTCTGATTGGCTCAGAAGACTCTGATCTCACTGCTGTACTTGTTCATTGGACATGCTGTGTTGTTGCAGGTCATGATGAAACATTTTTGTCCCTGTGGAGGATTGTAATAAAACCTAGTCAGTAATACAGAGGGAGGTCCAAGATCAGCCATGGGAAGATTGCATTCCCCACCCCCCTAACCACTGTATTTCCATGACACAATCCAAGCACGTGTCAGTGAGTCATTTTTCTCACCAGACACTCTGTTTGTGTTGATGGAAAAAGAGATCATTAGGCATGATGCATAATAATATGCAGACACACACACGCTTACACAAAACATATCTTTTAGTTGGCAAAAGCTGCAAAAGAACGCTGATACAAACCCTAAGGTCACCTATTATGCAAAATCCACTTTTTCATGTCTTTAATAAGTAAATATGTGTCCCAGCAGTGTGTTAAGAGATTCTGAAAGTTTAAGGAAAAAGGATCCTCTCTCTTCGTCTGCTGATCCACCTGTCTGATTCAGACCTAATCATTATGTTTAAAGTCTCTATGTTTTTTTAGTTTCAAGTAGTTTTTAATTAGGTGACCCATTTAATAAAAGTATCCTGCATTTTAAATGACATCTATTGATGCTAACTGATTTGAAATTGTAGAAGTTCCTTGTGCATAGTCTGGATTTTGGAGACGATTGGCTGGGATGTTGAAGAAAAGTGAACGTCCTGATATTTAATATGTTCTTTATTGTCGACCAATCACACCAAAATAGCAACAACTGATCCTTTGCTGAAAACTAAAATGACTGCCCTTTTTTTTTTAAATAAATGTTGACAAAAAACATTCAGTGGTTGGTAGCTGTGATGGATTATGTGACTCAAGCGACTTTTAAGTCTTTGCAATTGGGCAATAACAACATTAATCAAAACAAATGGCTGCCTGGCTGGTAAAAAAATGTTCATGAATAAATCTAAACAGCATGCCTTGCTTTAGAAAATGATCAATAATGGTTTATAATATGCATGCCGTGCAGGGTTTACCATGAAATTAAGAAAATGCTGACTTTTTGAGTATTTTAAACATTGAACAATGCCCAGAAAGTAGATAGCCAGACTTCCTATGAGGATGCACATGCTAAACTTGACTAACTGTGGCTCATAGATACAGTGTACAATGACATGTCTTCCTGTGTGTGTTTTAGCTGGACCAGTGGGTGACCCAGGGGGGCACTGACCCCTTGCCACTGGAGGAGGAGCACTGCTCCGTGGTGGAAGTGACGGAGGAGGACATCCAGAACTCAGTCAAGTTTGTTCCCAGCCTCTCTGCAGTGGTAAGTGTCCCCCCTTCAACAAGCTCTTTGTGTCAAATTGATACCCTTTATGCTCACCATTTCCAAGAAAGTGAAGCTCTAAGAAATACGGCAACGTAGTGACTGAACAAGGATGGATATATATTTTCTTTGCGTTGTCAACCAATTGTCAGAATGGGAGGGTTACAAATATTTCATTCACATAAACCACACTAAATAGAAACAACCTCCCTTAATTTAAATACACAGTAACAGAAGAAATTGTCATATTTTAAACGGGTGTTTAGTGAGAAACACTTTACGACCTTAATAAATTACAGCACTTTGACCAGATCGCTATGTTGAAATAGCCAGAAGGTAACCAGGTTTGGTTAAAAAAAAAAACTTATTTTCAAACATATCAAATGTAAATCTTGGTCAAATAAGAAATTCCCTCTTGCCAGAGAATGAGAAATGTTTTTTTAATTCTGTATTTTCTTGGAATTAAATGTGCGAAAGTGCAATTTGGAAACATATACTGTATATATAATGGTCATTTAAAAGAGGATTTATTTGAATTAAAAGGGACTATATATCTCTATAAGGAATCAAGGTTGCCATGAAATCTTGGGTTGGTCGATTGTGTTTCTGTTGTGTGCTTGATTGTATATTCAATGAGATGAGCTCTTTTGACTGTGTTTATATAACTCTAGTGTGTATAAGTGCGCTTGTATGAATGGGACCCCAGGAAGAATAGCCTGTGCTCATGCTTGTGCTAATAGGATCCTAATAAACAAAGGAAATGTTAATCTCCTCATAAGAGCTCTGATATTTTTGTTTGCTTTATCCTCTACATCTACTGTGTTCTTTTTGCAGATTACATTTAAAAAGTCAACTTTTGAACATCTTTGTAAGCGTCCTGTGTTTGTGATTGTTTCAGATTTTGGTGAGAGCCATGCTGAGGAAGCGCTCCTTCAGTAACCCCTTCGAGTGTCCAAGCAGGAGAGAGGAGCGCTCTATGTCTGCACCAGGCAGCCTGCTAATGTAAGACCACACAGTCCATCATGACAGTCAAACATGTCCTGATCACTTAAAGGGACAGTTCACCCTGAAACCTAAAATACATATATTTCCCCTTACTTGTAGAGATATCATCAATCTAGATTGATTTACTGTAAGTTGCAGTGATGACATAATAGGCTGAATAGATGTCCTCCTTCTCTCCAACAAATGGAATTAAATGGCACTTGTGGTGTTTAAAGTGCATAAAGAAAATACATTTTACAAACTCTTTCCAGAAATAATCACCCGTTTACTCAAGATAATCCACACACCTTGTTGTGAGAAGTTTCATTGAGGGACTATTTTCTTTGTATCGCACTACACCCGCCAACTGTATCACAGCAAAGAAGGAAGAGTGCATTTTATACAGCTAGCTAACTTGACAGCTAACTGTAGGACACCATTAATGTTTACACCTTGTTCTTTTGATAAGAATAGATGCATGCTTTCTTATGTGCAGTGATACGGTTGATGGGTGTAGCTTATAAGAAAGAAAAATAGTTCCTTCCTTAAAGCCATCTCTTGGTTTATTTATTTTTAAGACTGTGGTCATTATTTCTGAAAAGTTGGTCATTCGAGCTCGACATGGCAAGTGTCATCTATTATATTCAAGAGAAGCCGTATCTCACTCAAGCAGAAATCTCCACATTCTCAACTCACACCAGATCAAGCTAGATTGATAAAAGCACTATAGTTAAGAGGTGTATTTTTGGGGTGAACTGTCCCTTTTAATACCTGCATATCTCATCTATGATGATTAAAAACCGACTGCAGAGAACACGCAGATCACACCTGTCTCCTCTGTCCTATGTTTCAGGATAACTCACATTCACTCGTGCAGCAGCGACTGCTTTGGGTTACCATAGCACCATGATTCATTCTTTTATAAGTGTTATTTGTGTGTTGCTTACAGCTTTAAAGGGTAGAAGGATTCAGAGTGACAGATAATCATACAGATCTGCGAGTGCCTCGGGCTGACCTTACATTTTCTGTTCCACGGATTGAACGCATCACAGGGAGAAAAGCCAATCCTATTACTTTGTCGTGCAATTGCAACATATACAGTACAGCCTAGAGCGATTGGGAGCTTCTATAGCTGTTCCCTGCTGTACTGCGGGTGCCTTTGGCTCAGTAATCTGTGTTTAGTGTCAGGCAGACCTTGCCATCAAGGCCACTTTAGCGCTGAATGTTGAGGAGACTCTAACCGCCCATTGTGAGCGTTTTATTCGATGATTTCTCCTCCCCTAACTAGGCCAAGGTTGCCCCTGTTCCGCTCCAGGCAGTCAGAGAGCTGCCTTCTCAGGTGAAGGTGCTTCCAGAGGACGTGCAGGGAGTTTTGAACAATACTGCCCTCTGCTGGAGAAAAGGAAACGACAAAGCTTTGTACATCTAAAGATCACAGCAGCGTGAACAAAAAATATAGTCTGTACATTAGCTCACAGTTTCTGATCCGTACACTTATTGTCACCATGGATTGTTGATTAAATGTGGACACTACAGTTGAAAATCTTTATCACCATAAACCCTCCCCTGTTGATCAATAACATTAAGGGAATTACTTTTTCAAGCTTTCTGAAATGCTTTCCTTAAATATGCAAATGAGGCAGTATTTCATTTTTATAATTTGCACTCTTTCCACAAGAGTAAACTGAACACTGGATGACGCCAGGTTGAAAATGAATGTTGGTCGATTCTTTTACAAAGGGAATTTAAGATCTATCTTACCCAGCAAAACAGAAAATAAAAGAATACATTTTCCCCTATATATAGATAATATGTGATATAAATCAGGCTTTCAATGGTCCATGAAAGAGCCTTTTTGTTCAAATCTTCAGAATATTAATGGGAATGGAAAACAGGGAAGTTAGGAGAAAATTGCCTTTAAATATATATTTGGGAAAAAAAATGTACACAAAACATTTTGTTTTCTGAAATCTTAAGTTTAGTATCAGATAAAGAGATGATCTGATACTAAATTGGGAATTAAGGGGAAATAAAACATGCAAAAAACTAAATTACTTGGAGAACTATGTGTATTTTGGATTTCTCAATTTAACTTCATCACCTATTTTACTTTCCTGAGCACTTTCATTTTGAGACATTAATGTGATCATAATGGACCGTAAAGAACAGTCAGCCTCTGAGAGACTAAAAAGACACTTGACCTTAAAAACTCATCTAATGTTCAGCCCATAAAACTGTAATTGGTTCCAAAATAAAGTGAAAGAGAAAATAATAAAGCAGTTGAGTCCTAATATATTTATTTTAAATTGGTATAAAATGAAAAAGAAGCAACTTAAGGTTGAGGAGCTGATGTTTCTCGGCTGGAGGTCATCTCCACCAGCGACCACGCCTTAGAACCTCTGAGGTGACCTTTGCCCTCTGAACTGTGACTCTCCCATCTTTTCTCCCACTTTGCTGCAGGGACTCGTGGCCCTTCCGGCCCTCTTTAAAAATGCACCCCTCCCTCAGGTAACACTCTCTGCAGTTTGACACGCTGTCTGTCCCCCATCCACCAGCCTGTACGCCCATCATCATCTTAGACTCCTCCACTCTGGCTTTCCTTCATCATGAGAAGTGATGGAGCTTCCTTCCCCAGCTGTCATCCCAGAGAGTTTCTCATCTCCCTGCTGCTGTCATTTGTTACATTGTGTCTTTACCATTCATCATGTGACAAAAAACGGGACTTCTTCTCTGATTTTTGCTGCATTTGGAAAAATAAAGCACAGGGTTAAAGGTATAGCTTGGAATTTATGAAGTGGGGTTGTATGAGGTCCGTATTTAGGGTTTTACTTACAGTGGATGGCGGTTGGCTTACTTTGTCAGCTTGGAGAAATGGACAGGAGTATCAGCACTAACATAAAGCTATGTAGTGCTCTGGCTGCAGCAAAACATGTCTTCTGCAGCTAATACAATCATAATCAATTTAAGCTGTAAGCTTTGTTTTGAATATTTTCACTGCTCTACCTTCCTTTCAGACAGCCCTTTCCAGCAGGGGACTGTAGCTCTAATCCCTGCTCTCTTCAAAGCCACCAGACTCCATTGACAAAACCAGTCATTTTACCTTACAGGATTGTAAGGTCTATCCATGCCTGGTTCAGAAAAGTTGTTAAGGTGACTGTGGCATTGTTGCTTTCACAGGTTAGATCAGACTCACCTAGTTACACACTAATACTTACAAACTGATTGATGCACCTATTGATCAACAACCACCATTATTGTGAGGTAAAATTATTGATGTTTTCAATGGAGTCTGGTATCTTTGGAAATAGTATTGCTTAAGTTACCGATCAAAGGGGCTTTCTGTGGTAAAAATGTCCTTATATAGCTTACACTTACACTGATTTTAATTGTTTAAACAGTATTTCTTTAGGTGGCTACAATATGTTTTGTTGCAACTGTCCACAGCAGTTCATTGCTTAGTTTCAGCTCGGTAACTCCGGTCCTCTTCTCCAAACTGACATCTACCATGGTTAGACACTAACAGTGGATATGTACCTCATGAAACCCCGCTTCGGACCAAACTATCCTTTAATAGTCCAATCATTTAGATCTGTAAAGCTCCTCATATTAACTGCTCTGTCTTGTTTTTCCTCCTTCAGAAAGGGCAGCACAGGAGATGGACCCAGAGAAGGAGAGCTGGAGGACCTGCATGAAGACGAGCCCTCCTCTTGAGTCTCTCAACAGTCTTAAACTCCATCCCAACATACATCCCTCTGCTTGTCCACCGGTGTACTCTCCACTTTAATCTGCTGATCGACTCGAGTTCACATTCAGACTTGTTTGCTCGGGCTTGCTTTTTCTTCCTGATCTGCCCTTCTACAATGTGGAGACTCTGGGCATTTAGTTTGTTCTTCAATGTCGCTTGTCTTAACTGCTCTCCCACTTCCTGTTGTGACTGGCATCAGTGAACCGATAGGGGGAACTCTGCATCATTACCAGTTGAAGACGGACACAAACATGTTTTTCAGCTGGCATTACAATGATGTGGGAAATAAACTGTCAAAACACGTCTGCATGGATGAATAGTTAAACCGTCATCATCACACTGTCTATAGCCAGCCTGACAAGGAGAATAATCCTCACAGCATGTAAATGGCATTAGATTGTCTCTTCAGTGAACTACAGGATTGTTTTCTTTCTGATATTGTACATAGATGTCTTGAGGTATCATCAATGTATCGTCTCACAGCCCTTTTCTTGTTTTTATGCCATCGGTAGCTTTTATGTTTGAGCTGGGTGATGGAATCCTTCCTGTGCTGCCTTCCAGGGCCCACCTTGTTGGATTCCTCTGACAGGAAGTCAGCTGTCTACGGGTGATCGCACAGAAAGGCCAGTGACTTGGCTATGCTCCAACACATTTCAAAGTTACTTTGGTCGCTGTGTTATTTGAAACCTTTTCTGTTAGAAGTCATTTCACGCTTCCTTTTCAACTCCTTCGTGTCTGATAATTGTTCTCCTGCACCGTCCCTTTCCTTCCGTATCCTGTTGTACTGTTTGATCCAATGTGAAGTCATGGCGACAGAGGTCGGAGCACTTGGAAGTGTTGTTTGTTGTTTGATGGTGAGTCAGAACAGACTGTAATTTCCCTTTTTAAAAATCCCATTCTTGGATTCAGAGCTTGTTTGAAAGCATGCATAATCGTATTGTCCAAGTTAAACATCAATGTGCGCTCTTACAGAAGAAATTGAATTATCCAAGGGACTGTGTACAAATTATTACTGAAGGAGAGGTCAGAGATGTGGCAGGGTTGTTATGTTTCCTTTTAGCTGAGGAATGGTTAGTCTGAATGTTTTGGAGAAAAGGAGAAGGGTCTTTTTATTAGTCTAATGTCCCACATTAATAATTCAGTATTCCCTTGCACATGGCTCTCAAAGTCACAGCAGATCATAAAACTGTGCTGAGCTGTGACAAATGTTATCTCTACAAAAAGTAATAATCTCCTTTACTTTCTTATGCATAGTAACACAAATGTGTTAAAAAATAGTAGATGTGTCATAAAATGTCAGCCACACTTTTTGAAATGATTAATTCCATTTATTGTGTAAAGAATTCTTCCTCAAACACAGAGATATGATTTAAATATATTTTATAAAATAATTGATTACATTTAAATTAGGTTACATCACATAGAATTATTGAGAAGTCAGAGCTAGGGTTAAATTAAACCGTAATTAATGCTGGAAAGGGTTGTGCGAATAAAAGATCTCAGCGATTTTTGCAAGGTCCCTAACTAGATTTCCTGGCTAACATTTTGAAGGTCAAACTAGCCATACGTGTGTCGAGCTGCGTTGGCTAGTTAGTCAGCATCCTAACCCTGTGAGATCAAAACAATTGGTGGCATATGAAATATCATTTATTTGTGTGATTGAAGTCCTTTGTTTGCCATTTAAGCTTGATTGCCAAACTTCAAAATAAGTCAAATCTGTGGTCTGCAGTGTCTACGCTGTCTCAAATCAACGATAGATCTCTTCCTCCTCCGCAGCTCTCCTTCAGATAATGTTTGTACAACTCCATTCTGCTCTTGCCTGGGTCTGAAAGAGAGCGTGCTTATCTGGCAGAGTGCTCTGAGCACTTGAACCGCAGTGAAAAGAGCATTTCAATGTCACGATTAGACCCAGACTGCCAACAACAACACACTGCATCCACTTCAGTGCCGTCCCCGGTGTGGCTGATTATAAACGGGGGTGGGGGGGGGGGGGGGGGGAAGTGCAGCGTTTTGCATTTCCTTTATTAAACTTGCCCTCAGTATCCGCAGTAAAGGATGCATACTAAAGCACAGAGAGCAGAGAGGGGTTGGTAGAAAGTGTTGCACACATTGAGCCTCTGTGTTTAGAGATGTATGTCCACACTGTCAGGAAAGTAATGCACAAAGACCATGGGTTCTTGGGAATGTAAAGCTTTACATATATTTTTATTTAATTGTTCCGTAAAAAAGGTATACGTGTTGAATGTTGTAAATGCTGATTGACATGAGGGCTTTTTTATTTAATGCAACCTTTATTTTTTTGTTTCCAGAGGACAGGTTAAGGAAGCCCTGAGATCCTTTTGCAGTTAACCTTCAATGAAGGACTGTTTGAACCAAAAATATTACATTTGTATGTCTTAAGGTGACTGTTTATAACTTACAACATTCTTTTGAGGTTTTCTTTAAGTCTCTGGGTGTCGCCAGCTTTACATGTGTGTGTTTGTACTGACAGACTGTTGTCAGTGCCAGATGTGCAATATTGTCGTCGTCCTTGTCATTGCTGCATTGTTGACATTGTTGAAAAAACTAAAGTACTGGTTATATTTAAATATTTGCACATTTTCACTTACAGAAAGCATCTTAAAAATACTGGTGCCTGCCAGCTATTCAAAATTGTACAATTTATGATAGAGGAAAAAAACTGTGGTTCACCTGTAAAAGACCATATTAACTGTGTATGTTCTCAAAGTCTCCCGTGCTTTTGATAACAATCTGCATGTCACAGCATTGCTCCTTGTTTTTTGAGATTTCTTTTATAAATGAAACTAAATATTATTCAATTTATTTTTTCTGTAATTTATTCTGCTGTCTGTTTCAAAAGAACGCTGTAACAGCTGCAGTGACAAAATCTGCATGTCCACATAGAGACAGAAATTGTGAATGTTGTGTAACCGCAGCTAGGCACTTGTGGAGTTTACTGCTGTAATGATGAAGAATACTACACCACTGTCATCCCCATTATATGAGCAGCTGGAGATAGCAGCTTTATGTCCAATATCCCCAGAGACACAGTGAGGGATGATCACTAACTGCCCTTAAAGATTGAACATTAAGCCTCCAGCTATAGAACCAAACTGCTACCCTTATTCAACAGCTAACAGCCTGTTTATATTAATTCTGACCTCTGCAAAGGTTATGTTTAAAGGGATAATTAACCCACAGCTAAAACTCAACAACCTATTTTCCCTCTTACCTGTTGTGCTGTTTATAAATATGACTTTGATTTGCAGAGTGTTGGAAAGATGCTAATCTTCTCTCCATACAATGGGACAAGAAGTAACATAAATAGAGAAAATGTGTTATAAAAATGGTATAATTAAATGGCCATCATGTAATCGTCACCTGTATGACTCTTTCAATGCTGCACATTTCATCCTTGGAGAAAGCCTTAATACTTCAAGGCATAGGGGATTTTCTCAAATGTAGCACAAATGTTTTCTTTTTGATGCAGATACGGGTCCAGATACTGATTAAATACACATTTTAAATTGTGTTACTGGAGGTTTGTGCACCCTCTTAAGTTCAGTGTTAGTGAAAAAAAATCAATGGGTGCAATTGCAGCACTGAGAGTGAGTCACAGGAATAATTCCTCATGATTTCAGGTCATTGTATCCAAAGGAGGAGTGTGGCAGAGTGTACATAATGTTCAGTTGGGGAGGATTTATACGGCTGCTCTGTATTTCATGTGACTGTCCTGATATTTTCCTGAAGGTGCCTGCCGTCTCTGCGTCTCGTGTTGTCTCGTGCATTTTTTCTGAATGTACTCTGGCTCGTCACAAATTCAAAAACAGAAGCATGGCACATCCCTATGGAATGCAATGTAAATATGTACCAATATATATGAAGAAGCTATTTTTTGCATGCTTTTTGTAAGCCCAGACATAATCAGAGACAATAAAAAAATACATTCTGAGTTATTTACACATGTTGCCTGTTTTGCTGTTTGCACTGAGACAGAAAAAAACTCCTGTTCACATTTATTGAAATATCAATCACAAGGTGCACACGGTGATAAATCAGTCCGACAGTGGCACATCTGCACGTCATGTGTGCATCATTGGCTTTGATACTCGTTCATGGATGAGTTATGGATGATTTGTGTACATACAGAAGCACTAAGGTAGCCAGGAAGTTTTCTTTTACCTGCACGAATATGGAGGATGTGAAGGTTACACCCAGAGTGAAAACAAAAGCAAACCGAGCTACACCCGAAAAAGTACACATACATCTGAGCTGCACTAAAGCTCTACATACAACAGCGAGAGTCACAGTAATTCAGGGTGGTTGTAAGAGAAGGAAGATATTGTTGGTAGAAGATCCTGCTGAATAAATAGAGTGCACATGGAACAATGTATTTTCACTGTGTCCTTTTCTAATCCCAAGTCCATGTTTGTTGTCCCTCAGGGTCCCAGTTCAGTTATCCTTCAAAGTCCCACCTTAAAAGTTTGCTCCCAGGTCACTTCTACAGGAATAGCAGAAAATTACAATTTTAGCCATCACAGGAACATTGCATGTATAGGGAAGTCCAGAGAGGCAATGTCAATTTGAATTGCTTTTGCCTGCAGTGTTGGCCAAAATCAACATTGCCCTAATTTGATCTACTGTATACGTACGAGATATCTCCTCCGTATATATGCTTTTTTTAAGCCTGCAAGTCCTCCAATTATTTGTAAAAGGCAAACATTTTCTTTCTTTGCCTTGTAACATATTAGGATAGGCTTTTTTAGGCCGTTTTAATAGTTGTAATGAAGACCAACTGCATGATACAAAGGATATTGAAAGTTCAGCCACTTGATTTGAACTGCTGTTTTTTGTGTCACACTAGAGTTATTCTCTTGTAGGACATATATGAAGGTTTTGGACAGCATTGCTCACAAACAATAATAAAGTCACCTTGCCTCTGTTCTTCCTTATAGATAGATTTTAAGAAATTCTTTAATATCTTACTTTAGATACCTCAGTTTCTGTGCTACCTGCCTCTGAGTCGGGGTCCTGTAGATTAAAAGTAAACTCCATTTAGAGATCTCAGAAAACAATAAATGGATTCCCCTCGTTGGCAAATTGATAGAATACATGAAAAATTATCTAGTTTACTGTCTACATTTTAACACGCACTCACGTCAGTCTGGCCAGTGCCGTGGACTTGTCTTGCATTTGCGTCAAAGGGGCAACAGTCACTTGTTTCTAAACCAAGCCACTCGCTGTCCTGCTGTAAATAAGAAATGTTCTGCCTGTTTCAGTTAAAGAGGGAAACTGTCTGGAAAGGGATTGGAGAAAGATTTCATCTTCAATCAGATAAAATGGCTATGCTGTTTCAAGCTGCCCTACTCTGAATGTTATGGGTATAAACCATAGAATGTATAATATAAACACAGCTCTTTACATTTAAAATGATCATTTGTACATCAATAATTTAGCCATGACAATCTCTAAAAAGGCCTTCAAAGCGAACAGATATTATAGGCTTTAGCCAGTTGTTTGTGAAGTAGTGGGCATTAAACTGAATGAATAAGACTTGGATTAAACTGAAAGAGTTGTGAAAAAGGGTTTTATTGGCTATCCGTGTAAACTTTTATTGATCAAGACTTTTCTCTGTTTCCGGATCTTTTGTTTATAGTGCATGCATTCAAGATCAAAGATTTCTTCAAGATGTGAGTAATTGATATACAAATGATCATTTTGTGGGTTAAGTATTCCTCTAGTCTAGACAGAAGGTTTCTTCTGCGTTGGGTATATAGTTCTGATGTTTAGCATTCCTTCACAAGAACTGAACTTCATCCAAAATATATTCAGATAAAGAAAATTGCTGTTCTATGTCAATCTAGACTGTTAGGATTGTTAAAGGCCTCTCTGCTGCCATCTTGTGTTCAAACTGAGTTCACATCACATGATCACTTTGCATGCGTCATGGGACTTACCTGTGTATGTGTGTCTGTGTATTTGAATTTCATGTTCTTGTAAAATGCTCTTTTTGGTAGCAAATACAGCAGCACCAAGTCACATACTACGGTTGCCTGTAAAATCAGAAATATTATAGTTATGTGAATTATGACAAAGATGATAAATAATGATTGGTTAGTTAGTGTACAACTTACCACTCCAAAGATGCCCACTCCAGAGCCTATAGCTGTTAAGGTTGGGATGATATCAAACTTTCTTGCCTGTGAAGAACAGAGTGCAGGTGATATAAACATTCCCTTTGACTCCCTTTGAAAAAATCTAAGTAAAAAGATTCAAATGTATTACTCACCAATGATTGCACAATGATATCGAACCTGATCCCAAACACTTTGAGGAGAGTTCTCTTCTGAATTCTGTCCTCCATATAATGCTTAGCATACCTACAAAAATGTAAATATTAAATGAAATAAAAATAGACTTCTGCATTGGCAGTCTTGTTGATTTTTTTCATGCAGTTAATTCAGAGACAGTGACTTCAACACTTCTATATTTTTGGGAAATACACATATTAACATTCTTGCGGAGAAATAGGGAAAGAGATTAATACCACTCACCACATGTCAGTTTTATACAGGGCTACACTAGTTAGCTTAGCATAAAACAATAAACAGAGGGAAACAGTTAGCCTAGCTCTGTCCAAAGGTAACAGTCCACTTTTGAGCACATCTTCACTCACTAACAACTCCTTATGTATACTTGTGTAGAACTTTCAACCCTTTTTCCAGACTTAATGCTAAGCTAAGCTAACTGGCTGCTGGCGCTAGCTTCATAGCGCACAAACATGAAAGTGGTATCAATCTGCTTAGGAAACTCTCAGCAAGAAAGCAAATATGCATGTTTCCCAAAATGAATCCATCATATCACAAGAAGGGCCTGCTTCCTCAGTGTCAAACAAACACTCAAGTCTGTGTTTATTCAGTGAAGTATATATTCACACCTGAAATTGTAGCCCACTGAAGCTCTGGCTTTGTCTGTCTCAGCGGGGTTTCCGTACAGACCGTGGAAGGTGTACTTTGGTTTACAGTGTGTTACAGCCACATCGAAGTTACATGTCCAGTCCACCACAATACCAATAGCCCCTCCCTGGGAGAAGACAAGCACATAAGTCAAAACACAAGGCTCCATTATAACACCAGAAACTATAGAAACAAAGCCGCAAAAGACAATCCATGTGCAGCAGTGACTATAGATGAAGAGAACATCTGCCTCTCTCCACCTGACAAATCATTTATTTCCATTCAGTGTTAAGTAAAGATCAGCTTACTTACCACTGTGGCTATTGTTTCGAAATTGAAGCCAGACTGTTTAACTATGTCTCCCAGTCTGAATATGGGACACAGTGGAGCACTTTCAGGATGATAAAGGCATTTGCTGATGTATCCAGCATCAATGCCCTCCACCAGGTTACTCCTGAAAGCACAATTGTTAAGAGACATAGTTATACATAGAGCTATTTTAATGTGCTTTGAAGCATAATAACCTCAAATTTGGTTATCGCATATTATAGATGAAATTGTCTTGACACAATTAAAAGCACCAAACCATCCCCTATCCTTAAATATCATCCAGAGATTAACTGAAGTGGATTTCTTAATATTCATTCTCCTCAAGCATATAGGCCTATAATAGGCAAATAGGGTTATACATATTGCTTGCATGCTGTTAGAGTTAAAACCCCTGGTAAGGCAAACTCTCACACTTAAAGGGGTACTCTAGCGATATGTGAGTATTTTTCAAAGTGTAGGGACTTGTGAGGGGGATAAGTCAAAATGAGTAAAGTAAAAACCGAAAATCCTGGCTTTTAGCTCCTATTATGAGTAAAAACACAGGATCCTACAATCTTCATAATGCCATGAAGATTGTGAATGCCTTTATTTGAAACAAAAAATGTTATTACTTGGTTTAGGATTGCGAACATAGGTAATGGTCTACATTTGGGGAAAAAATGTAAGCATCTGCTAAGCCAAACTTAACAATATATGAATTATGTCCATCACCTTGAGACGCCAAATAAGGGGAAAGTGACTGAATTTTTAATGAACAGCGTGTAGTTCTCAGCAGACATCAGCATAGGAGGACTACAGGGGAATAAAGAGAAAATAAAAGAGTAAATCCAGCATGTTGAGGTGCAGAAATCACCACATTTGATATTTCTCAGTCCACTTCATTAAATACGTTTCATTATCAGTATGAATTATTGAGTGTTGTCACATACTCAGGGATGACGAGATCATCCTCGACAGGGCACCAGGCCAAAACCTGACAGGTATTGGTCTCTTTCACACATTCACCAGTCATTTGCCCTTGAAACAAAAACACACTAGAGTTCAGCATTAGACACAAAACTAAAATCTGGAGCAAGTGTTTCAAGCAGCGGTGGAAAAAGAAAAACGTATAGGCTTTAACATAAAAGCAAACTTTCTCTGCTTCCACTTTTATCCTCTTATCTCGAATTAGTATCAACAGCAGCAAGCAAGATATAAAAGAGAAGCAAAGCAAGCGCTGAAGAAGCTGTTTCCTTTATCTCTTCCTGATCCTACCCTCGAATTTCTCTGCGTGTGATTCGCTTTGTTGGTATCAGTCTCTCTCATCATGTGCTGGATGAGTTCACCGACAGTTCTCCAGCACGCTTTTTGCTCAGCTTCACTTCACTGGACTTTTCACTGGAGCGAACCAGTATGTTTAGCTAAAGGCGCGCCCTCGCTGTTTACTTGTCTACAAGCATAGAGACAGTAGGCCACCTCTAAAGAGATACTGGCACCTCGAGATGAATTTGACCAGTCTGAAAGAGACAGATCTAAAGCCTTGGCTAACAATGGTCTTATTAAAGTTGACGTTGGGCACACAGGCCATGAAAGGCTCCGAGTTTATCCCCAAGGCAGATGGAGGACAATAAATGTATGTAACTGCTCTTTGAACTTGCCCACAAAATACTGTGTATGTTAGGACCTATTAAAAAG